TACAACAAACATTGGCGGCACGGACAGGGGCCTAAGCAAATCAAATTTAGATCATTGGCGTGGATACGCCGCAAATGCGTTAGTTCTTTCGCTTCTCGAAAACATTTTACCGGGTGATCGGCACCAGTGGGGGGGGGAGGTGTGTCTAAATTTCATTGTGTCGGCACTTCTAACGGACAACGGCTCTTATCGGCCGGATCGGATCGAATTTGTACGGCCTTTGTCTCAGTCGAATTAAATACACACACACACATACTCAAATGTACACCGGCAACGGCCACAGAGGGTCGTCAACGTGGCCAGTATGGGCGGCACGCCGCTCGTAGAGGGAAAATGTTTGGAATGTCCAACGGTTGGGTTTTTCGGAATGCTACTCATACTGCGGGTGGTATGTATATACGTTTCAGTGTGTGTGTGTACGCCCCATAATATATATATATATATATATGTGTACATACGTAATATGTATCTTCGGAAACCGATACACCGTCACTAATTGACAACCGCGCTTTGCGGGGAGCTCCATAGTATCTTTATTGTTATATATATGTATGTGTGTAGTGTGTACACGGGATACGAAACGTCTTAATGGAACGTTCGGAGCGACGGGAGTGGAGTGGATAATTCTCCTTTAAAAACAAACAACACACACACAGACACGCACAGGTCATCGCCGCTTATTTTCTACCTCTCTATTTGTGTATTATTAATAATGTATATATATATATTACAGATTGCTTCTGCTGGTGCTGCTCTTCGCCGGTGTTGCTCTTATCTAAGTCTCGATCTTCCGTATGATAAATCACTGCACAAAAAACTACGGCGGTTGCCGTACCGGGTGTGGTTCGGACCACGTCATCGCTATTCCAAACGTAATTGATCGTCTTTAGAGATAGAAAGAGACAGAAGGAATAAAACCAGGGAGGTCCTCGGTGTAATTACACGTCCGTTTACCTAGAAATCGCGTTTGGTTACGCGAACCGCCGTCTTTACACTACACAAACAGTGTAATACCCGTGCTGGTGGTGAGGATTGTCTGGACTCTGCTAGACAACCGAGACATACAGTATATTGTACAATATACATAATGTTATACCCGATCAAATAGACGGGAAAAAAGTTCTATTGCGATTTGAAATATAATTATTAAAAAAGGGGAGAACAGGAGCAAACAGAGGTATAGTTTCCTGAAAAAAAAAGTAAAGCTGATCGACAATATTATGAAGTCCCTAATCCCATACAGCTTGAGGTATGAAACGAAGACAATTTTGAGATACTAATTTTGAAATTAGAAATGCTGAACCCTCTCAAGCTCCTGCCTTTAATGCATCTATGGACAAACGTGCATTTTGGTTTTACATCTGTACTTACTAGATTGCGTCTTCTGAAACTATTTGACACTCGTAGTCAGTGTCTCAACCAATGAACGGGATTGGGAGAGGGACAAGGGATAATAACTTTACTCCTTCCGAAACTAGCATCGTGTCACTAGTCACTACCATAAGTTCGTACCGGGTTCCAACTAAAATTTACAAAATTTTTTTAAATAAAAAAAACATTATTCATACACCGTAAAAATAATATGTGTGTCTAATACTCTAATGATTAAACCTCTTTCCTATAAAACAAAATCTAAAATACAATTTTTTACCAAGTTACCTTGGTAGATCCTGTTAGTAGGTAGTTAGTCCGAAATGTTCAGAGTTAAAAAATTCCGGATAGGATAGCTCGGTAAGAAATGTTTTTTATTAAAATAAAGACAATACTTACAATCTGTGTACAAAATAATACAATAGGTAAATGAGCTGAATATAGAAACTAGACAAGACGACGTGTAGGAAGGGAGCGTCCATTAACACTACTTCCAAATAGGAATTTAAATTTTCAGTTTAAGAGATTAGTACTTTTTATATTTATTTTTTTATTTTTGTTAAGTGTTGAGTAGATCACGTGGCCAGTTTCGTTTTAGTCGGCGAGGAGGATTGTCGGGAATTGTGAGAGAAGCTAGCTTAGATATAAGAGGATTTGAGTGGTTGAGAGCGTTCGTATGGAATTTTTTATAGTGGTTGGAAGCAAGGGTTGATAGCATTGGTATGTTGAGGTCATTGTGTAGGGTTCGATTACTAACATACCAGGGAGCAAAAAATGTTTTACATGGGAAAATAGGGTAAACCATTTAAACAAACATAATATTTTACTAGTATGAATAATGTTTTTTAGTTAGTTAATTATAAAGGTTTTCTTATATGAACAAACATATTAATACTAGCTGAACACCTGGTGTTGTCTAGGTGTTTACCTATTTATTCCAAAAACTATGAATTTGACACTAATGTAGATTATTTTTACACGTCACCCCCTCCCCCTTTACACCCTCATTCACAGGTGTGCCACGACCGATGTTTTGATAATGTTGTGAAGAATTCAAATGGTTTTTAAAAACTTAAATCGATGTATTCTTAAGGACAGTGCGTTTGAAGTGTAAACATGTATTTTTGTACAAAAATAGATCCTATATGCGTTATAAAAGTTGAAAAAAAAATAGATACTCCTTTCCTATGGTAATATGTAGGTATGTTTAAAAAATTTAGCTTAATGTTAAGTTTAAGCGAAAAATTGCCTATACAATGCGCCTTAATAAATGCTAGTGTAAAGTTCCTTAATATATATATATATATATATTATATTTATATATAAGTACAAACAAAAAAAAGATGAAAGACTACACTTTTTGTAAAAAATGTCCAGGTTGCTATGTGAGAGTGAATCAACCGGTATCAACAAAATAGTTTCATTATATTATTAATTATAATATATGGATAACATGCGGCAATAAATTGTTATAGGTAGACGATCAACCCTAATCATATCTACCCTAATACTAGAAATCTATTTTTAAACACATTGTTGCAATTAGGTACATTGATTTTATTGATATTTATATTTCTTATATTACAAGTATCTTTAGGGTTTATTATACGAAATACATGTTGATGAGTTTGATAATGCATTTTGTCTAAGAACATTATATTGTGCCTTGGTTAGACCGGTTTTAGAGTATAGTAGCTTCCTTAAGAGTTAGGGTCCTTCTCATGTGGGTTTAATTAAATCACTACGACGAAAGTTCTCACGCAATTTTATTCTTCTAAATACCATCAGAAAATCCATACAAGTCACTATGACTATAATCTTGATCTTTAGGTGAAAAGACATCGCTTTTTTATGTAAAAATTGTTAAACAGCCGCATTTCTTGTCCAGAGATATTAAGAAATACAAATTATATTCTATAATAGCAATCGAAACAATTTTTCACTGTCAAACGAAGAGTTATGACGTCGGCATTGAAATATTCACTACAGACAAACTAAGCATGATTGAAATTTGAAGTATCCACAGGACTAAAGCAATTCTTATACCAAATTAATATTCAATGAACAATCCATGTTGTATACGAGTGAGGTTCAAACATCCATCAGATGACGATGGTTCCAACTAGCTCATCGAGTTCAGTTAGACATTATTGTTATTTGTACCGCAGATGCACATAAACCATTATTTGTTTTTTTTTATTTTAGTATCTAAGTAGTATAATACATTTTTAAATAAATACAATTATAATATTGAATTTTACAACATTATATTAATGTTTAAATATCAGTATGTCTAAATGAAACGAATCCTCCTTAAAAATATGATACAGCCTCTCAACATACACCATTAATAATCATGTATAGGTACACGTATAGTCAAAGTTGGTGTCTCGGAGTAAAGTCTTAAGTCTAAATAACCAGGCATGATTATTAGATTACGAAATATTCCGAAATAACAGCATTTTTACCAAGACAATTTCCCATTGTACACTTTTTCCCAACGACCAGTTTCTTATCAAGTCCTTTTAACTTTTCAAAAAAACTACTTAAACTTAATTTTAAACCTGTAACCTCCTCTTAGACTGTAGCCTGCAAACCGAGGATATTTTTAGTTTAGCGGAGCGAAGCGACACACAGTGGCCTGAGAATGAAATTTAGATGGCAAAAATAGACCATTAAAAATGTTCAAAAAAATCTTTTTTTTTTTTTAGGATTACTAGTGTAAATATAAAATTTCAACTTAATAACATTTTTTGAACTGGAGTTATAGCCAAGTGAACTAAACACTTATGGTTTTTTCTGTTATTTTTAAAATTAAAATGCCGATAATTCATTAATTTTTTTTGGCTATTGAAATATGTAAAATAAAAAAAATAAAATGCTTGATTTTTAAGTAACAATGTATTTAAATAATGCCCAGATCTGTATAAATTACACAATATTATTTAAGTAAAAATAATACTTCATTAAAGCACAAATAAATATCATTTTTCACTCAAGCCTTGTACTTTTTTTTTTGGATATAACTTCAAAGCCATAGCCGAAAGACAAAAAATGCAACAAACGTTCATTAAGTAACATTAACTAAAAATATTCAGGCATACTATGATGAAAAACAAAATAAACTATTAAAAAAAACATATATTTCTTATCGGTCGAGTCCAGGGACGTACATAGAAAAAAGTTTTTGGGGGTGTTTTATGTACCTGTCTATTAAAGTATAATATAACATTAAAATTGAATAAGTAAATAACCATATATAAAACCAAACATTTTGGGGGGGTGTTTGAACACCAAAACACCCCCCTTAGTACGTGCCTGGTCGAGTCCAATGAGAAACCGACTAAATATATTATTTTCCATATCAATGCAGTTCACTCTTGCACTAAATGAAGGCAGAATAACTATTGGCTTAATTGACAGATTATAAAATAGAGCTTATTAATTGGCTTTATTCATATATATTAAGGAAATAGTAAAACATGTACAACTATGAAATCAGTAGTATTTTTTAAATAATTTTCTATTCGATATATTATTCGATATAAATACAGAGATAAAAGTGATAAGTTTTACACTATTAAATATGTCGAAAATGTAAAATCAACAAGAATACTAGAATTCGAGCCTATTGTATAAAATATTTTCATTATTAATTTAAAACATTATAATATCAATTACATTTCATTTTCTACTTTATCCATACTATTATCGATTATTCAATTAAAAATTATTTATTAAATATCATACTGTTTGTTTTTAAATGAATAATCTACAAAAATTATAATAATAATATTTTTGTATTACTTTTATATATATATAAAAATCATGTGTGTAAAGTGAGGGGGGAAATGCACAAGCTGTAGTAACAATGTAATAATAATTAATTTGGGCGCCGGATAGGGTGATACATATAAAACAATAATAAAATAATATTAGTTGCACGCTATTATTGACATGGCTTCAGCTGCAAAATATTTCACATCGACGTCTGTATCTGTATTCAGCTTGTCTAGAACTGGTTTTATTTGTGATTTTACAGCAGCACTAAACATATCAAATTGTTTAACATTAATATATAATATACAAGCCCAGTTTACTGAGATTTGCTCAGGATAAATATTATGATACATTTTATCCAATAGTATCAAGAGGTATAAAGGTTCTCCTATACCGCTTAACATCTTATATAATATATGTTATGTATATGTATTTATAAACAAATTATTCAAATATTTAAAAAGTTGCATACAATATCATGACCAAATAAACAAGCATGATTGCTAGATAATACTGTGCAGGAAAATTACCCCAAGCTTGGAAAAAGAAGTGTTTTACTGTGTTAATTTCTGATTACAAATTATACAGTCTTCCATGACTGAGGAAAATGTGAAAAGATAAGAAAATTTCGTAATCTAGTAATCATGACTGTTTATTTAGTCATGTAGAATCTTAAAAGATATTAGAGGAGTCAACTAATCATCAGTGCTTTAATTTAAAAAAAAACATGCTTGCTCCGTTTTAATAAAAAAAAAAACGATGGAGATGACATAAATATTTAAAAAATTATCAAAATTACTAGTCACTTGGCATGGAGTTATGAAAAATGAAAAATATGTCTTTTTCAAAATGTTTTTAAATATTTCTTAATTGTTAAATACTTACGATTGTGCTACAATTGGCCCAATCTTTTGAAGAGTTTTGGCAACATTAAAACGTACATTAGCAACGCTATCACTTGCCATTGACAATACAGTTGGTAACATTGTCTTAGCTGTTATTTCTGGACCACATACTTCAGCGAGTTCCTAAAATAAACAAAAATATAAAAAAAATACACATTAACAACATATATGTAAATTTAAAACTAAACTCACGTTAATGCAGAATAAGAATGTCATTCTATGCAAATAATTAGGATCTCTAGCCATTACTATGACTTTTGGTATAACCGATGTCTGAGCCCATTCAGCTCCAAATTTTTCAACCAATTTCTTTAGGTTTAATGTAGCAGCTTCTCTTATAGCGTAAACTAAAAATAAAAATCACATAAACCCAAGTAAATCAAGCAATTAAAGACCAATAATAAAATAGTGTACAAAATATTATACGTGTTGCAATCGCACTTGCAAAAAATATAATAAAACTAAATTACCGTGATCAATAAGCCACGTCATACACAGACTGTTAAGCTTGTCGTCAAAGAACTGAACACCTAGTTGGCTTGCTAACAGAGGCATATATTCGATAATAGCTAAACGTACTCTCCATTTGGGATCCTCAGCAAGTTCTACAATTGCTGGCAATAATGTTTCGGATAGCTGTAAAAATAAAATACATTTACAGTGTTGTGAATGTATGTAGTTTCCTTCAGGGTAAACACATAGTATTATAGGTATGATGAGTCCAGGGTCTTTGAGCTACCCTCTTCATGGGTTTTATGGAGCTGGCAATAGTTAACAACCCATCCTTAAAAAAATTATTTTTAGGACTTAAACATATTGCCTCGAAACTGTGGATCAATAGGTTTTAGACTGAAAATTGGAAATGTGCTTTACATTTTAGGACATAAAATGTAAGCACTTTATTTAAACTCTTTGTAATTACAAGATGGCAAACTTAGGTTCAATGCAACTGAGTAACACAACGATATTTATTGGCATGCAATGGAAAAAGACAGGCTTGCTGGGGTTTTGCTACAAGTTAAAAGAATTCAGAAGTAATCAACTCAAGAACAACAATTTTAACTTAAGATGCAAAATGTGTCAAAATAGCCTTTGTGAATTTGCCCACAAGAATAAAGATGAAGATGAAAAAGTATATTTTTAGTTTTTATTGAATAGTACACATAGAGGTTCACCAAAAAGTTCTGTACAAGTTATTTTTAGAGATTATAATGCAAAAATTAGACGTGAAGATTGTTTTAAGCCTATAATAAGATATCATAGTCTTAAACCAGTTATCTACTAGGTATATAAGATGATTTTTTTGTCATGGGCCACTCAATATCTCATAAGGTTTAATAAGAAATTTAATTTGTTTTTTTCATGTTGTTTTTATACAATGTGATTTTTTTTGTTTTTACCCACCTCAACTTAGTTTTTTTGATAGCAACTTTTGAAACTTAAATGGTAACGTATATATTTCATTAAATTTTTGAATTTAGAATAATGTACTAAACATTTTGACTGGTTCTAGTTTTGAGAGTTTAAAAGTTAGGATGGGAGGGGAAGTGAAGTTGGGAAAAACGCGCAGATAAAAATAGTACTACACTCCACCTTTCCTCCTGCTCTAAACTAAATATGTTTCGACAGTTAGGTCTTAATACTAGAGAAGAACGTAGTTATGAAAAAATTATAAATTTATATATATTTACTCTTTGAATTCCAATAACTTCGTTAACACAGTCCAAATTAGATATAATATTCAAACGCACTTCAGGGCATTCATCTTTCAATTGAGTCAAAAATAGTGGTAAGAGATGGTCTAATGTTCTGTAAAAATAAATTATACAATACATTTTTCTGAATATTTGTGGCTTTTTTTAATTAGGTAAAAAATAAAAAAAAAACCTTTAATGATTTAAGTATTTACCTTTGTTTGCCGAGAATGGGAGACAATCCCATAATAACTGAGGCTAAAGCCGATTTAACATGTTGGTTAGTATCAGCCACTAGGCCTTTAACAACAGGTAAAATAGACGTCATTATAATGGAATCGACCGCATTAGATGTTTGGGCAGCATTTGGATCGTTTTGCAATGCAGCAGTTGCAATCGAAGGACATAAATTACGACAAAAATCGCACACTTTATTGGCAGCAGCTGCTCTGACTTCAGCCTCGGTATCACGTAGTAATGATTGGAAAGTTGGTACCAAATCAATGCGTGTGATTTCAGGACCCACGGCCTTTTGCAACTAAATAAATTACACCACGACATGAATATTAATTAACAGGTGTTAATGTTTATGTTAACAGTACCTCTGTGAATTTATCAGCAACCATATAACGAACTCTCCAAGAACTATCTGAAGTACACAACCGTAAAGTAGGCATAACTAAGTCGTTAACATCTTCGTGTGTAAGTAAAGAGGCTATACTGACACAAGCTTCAATCGCTAAAAGTCGAACTGAATCCTAAAAAAAAGTGATATAATTAGTAAAACTTTACTAGGTTTCAGAAAACATAAATAAATAACTATTAAATTAATTATAGTTTGCTTATGGTTTTATTAAATGTTAAAATTTTACAATAATTGTTTAATTAGACTAAATTAAAATTAAAATGTTTTAAGACTTATTCCCTTTTGCACAAAAAAAAAACCATGGATTTAATATAAAACTTGAATATGGCCAAAAATTACTTATACTCTATCTCACCAATACAGTCTAGTTGGACGATTTTATTTAAAAACAAACAAACAAACCTGTTCATCTTGAGCAAGAGATGAAAACATAGGAATAAGATCATTTTTTAAAGAATCCAATTCCACAACCTTTGCAAATTCTCCTAATTTTCCTGCAGCCGCTCTCCTCACCATAGGAGTATCATCTTGACACAAATTGCGGAAGTAATTACGTAGTTCAGCTATTCAATATAAAAACGAATTAATTATTGATATACTAAAAATAATACATTATACCATTATTAAATAAAAACAAATTTAACATAGTTTTCATTTTTAAATATGACTTAATCAATTTATCATATATATTTATCTTTATAATACTTACATTTGATCATAGGATTTACTCGCGCATAGCACACCGAAAATAAGCCACATGCTGATGTACGTGAAGTAAACCAGTCACCGGAAGCTAAACGAATAACAAGACCGACAAAATGGTTTTCTAAGTCTGCTGGTGTATGCAAGACAGCTATCTGACGCAACGATTCTACCGCTTTATCTCGAACAACTGTTTCCTCGACTGTAGCTAAAGATTCTAATGGTGGCTGCAAATAAATAGGAGTTTTAATACACATATATTCTGATGGTATTGTAACCCATTTTTTATAAAGAATTACCAATAGAGTATAAGCAAAATCTGGTCCTCCTACATATATTGTAAAATTGCCTAACTGTTCAGCCAAAGCCAACAAAACTTCATCTTCGTCATATATGGTTTCAGTCAAAAACGGAATCAGCTCCACTCGAGTACGTTCTACACCCAGTGCTAATGCAATAGTAGATAGTTTCTTAATAGAGTTGAGACGCAACTGGAAACATAAACATATTTTTAACTTGAGTAGGTTATTTTTTCAATAGTAATGTAATTATAATGTTATATCATTTTTAAATGTTTTAACTTAAGCTGTAAAAATATCTGATAAAATGTATATTTCTAAGTTTAAATTTTCAGTTTATATTTCTAATTTTAAATTATGTGATAAAATATATTAAACATATTAATATGGATTATGATATCCAAGTATCATTCAAATTTTAATTATTTTTTATAGTTAAAATAAAGTATCTATGATTAAATTTTTTTCAGCAATTTATAATACTATATATTAATATAAAAATAAAATGATGAGTAGGTATAAATTGTTATGCTTAACTGTAGGCGCAATAAAGTAATTTTCACATAAAATGATCTTTATTATTAATTATAACCAAATAACCTATCTTTAAAAATATTTTAACAGTAAATCATGTGCTCTCTGAAACCAATTATTATAGGTCCATTTTGGTATACTTATTACAAGTTTAGCTAACAAATACTTAGAAATGTTGTACAATATATCTAACCTTGGGTAGGTTACCTTGTAACACAATACATTAATATTTGTACAAAATGCATTACAGGAATTAAGAATGGAAATCAAAACCCAAATGGGAATTAATCTGAAGCAAATTTTATACAATAATATTATGTGTATCAAAATAAAAATTCTAGAAGATATTGTGCTTCTCTGGAACATTTTTTTTGCATTATATAATAACGAAATTTCTATTACATTTTGCGAATTAAAATAGACCGGTTTCCAACTTATTATTATTATACAATGGGTTAAACCAAAACAAATTATAAACTAGCGATATCAAATAACATTTATAAATGTTTCGTCGTTTCGACTACAGGTAAATAACGAATAATAACCAATTGTTTAAAACATACCTGCACATCTTCATTTTTCAATTCATCAATTAGCACGGCGATCGGATAGAGTGATGTGTCCTCGGGTACGGGTTCACCGGAAGGCAAAGTAGTCGTAGCCATTTGTTACAAGTAGTTGCGGGGAAAGTCGTTTTAGGTTTTATATCTTGTGCATACGCGCAGTGTAGTTACTAGAATATCATTGAGATCACGGCACACAAATGTAAATGTAATTGATGTTCACGTGGATTAGGAAGTTAACAGCGTATCGATCGTAAGAATTAAATCAAATCACAGCGGATAAAAACACGGATAGTCGAGAAAATAAAAACAAACAGGGCGCACCGCGCAGGGGCCAAGGAGTAGTGAGGACGTCCATTTTGATTACATTAATTTTCATGGAGTGAAAGAATACTCGTGTTCATGGAAGACAAAATATTGGTCGCGCGCGCAGACTACTCTTATCAAATTATGCAAACAAGCTCGTTTTGAACAACCACACGATAATATGGTTGATGGTTCTAAGTATATTTTACCGCACAATGCTTAGAAAAACAGTTTTTTTTTCTTAAAAATAACATGTATAAATTATAACAGTCGTATAAAAATATTTGTATTGAAATACGTTAACGTGTCACACTCAATTGTAACTCGAATTGTCACTCTACCTACTAATTATATAGTCAGAGTTGGGCATTTTTTTTCGAATAACGAATGATAACTAATTTTTTCGAAAATATCTAAGATGATTTGTTGGAATAAATATTTTATCCAAATAATTATTTGTTCAAACATTTTTTATACGAATATTTTTTTAAATTATGATAACAATAAACTAATAACCCAATAAAAATAAAATTATATAAGATTAAGGGGAGCGGAAAGCGCTATTTATTAAGGTGCAAAGGATAGGCAATATTTGTCAAAAATTGATCATATAGCCATTTTTCATATGTCTACTAATTTCAAGGTGAACGCATATTACAATTTTCTAATTATAATACTTTTAAAGTTATTTTTCTCCGAGTTATGATGAATGTTTGATAAAAAATTACTTTCGTAGAAGTCATTTTCTGGCGTATCTATTGGACAGATTTCAAGTTTTTCTTATTTTATGCGAAGCTTATTATTTTTTCTATAGGGGCTAAAAGGCCGATTTTTGATTTAGCGACTAAAAAAGTAGTTAGATGTATTATAAAAAAAAAAGTAAAAATAAAAATGCTTATAAACATTTTTTGCAAACAAAATTAAAAAATCGGCGTTTTAGCTCCCATGTTAAACTTCATAACAAAAAAAAATATTGAAATCGGTTCGGTAGACACTTCAAAAAGTGACTCCGCGTTTTAGTCTTTATTTGTAAAAAGTGACTCTTTCCGTTCCCCTTAAGTGGGATAGATTATCATTTATCACCATTTACCATAACTATAATACATAACTACAAGTGTTGCTTAAGTTTTTCTAAATAAAAAAAATCTAGAAAAAACTTAAGTAACACTTGTAGTTATACCTATATTATAAAAAAAATTAAAGTAGTTCGGTCTGTTGTATGCGCTGATGATGGTAACGTTACTGCCGAAATACGTACACCATAAAGAGAATTATTATTGTGGTTAAGGGTTAATTTAAATATTTTAAAATTTTATTTATTATAAAATTAAAATTTCAAATCTTCACTGCCGTAATTGGTTAAATAAAATGACTCGCATGATTACCAAAAATACGAAGTCACTCTTATATTATAGATTCCAATATAGGGATTACAAAAAGTGAATACATAAAAAACAAATATGTTAGAAAGCGCCAAAAAGGATAACGATAACGGGTGGTCAGTGGAAAGTAAGCTCCAACGCGCTCAATAGGTGGAAAATGTCAAATAATTTTTTTTTGGGGGGGGGGGTTGAAAAAACATTAGCAGCCGGGCGCCAAATTTCTGAATACGACTCTGGTATTTTTTTATAGCGTACCGATATTAAGCAAATTTTGTTTTATGCATTATACCGTTAAATATAATTAAACATATTTTTTTTTTTTAATATTACACTGATATAAGCTGTACTGTACTGTTTGTATGTACAGCAACTTGTTTTTGTATTAAACTGAAAATGATAGATGTTTGTGAAACAAAATTTTTAAATAGCACTAAGAATGTATTATTTTAATAAACTTATATCTATTGTAATAATAACATACATTTTAGTAAAAAATCAATTGTCGACGAAAATTGTCTATACGAAACCAATTAATAAATTTCGTGATCATCCCTTGATATTTTTTTTCTTTAAATCTATATAGTAGTATATTTAGTTACAATTTAGACATCGAAAACTTCTGCTTTCATTTTACAACTTTTCGCCTACAATTCCTTTTAAAATACTTAAAACCATTTCAAAGGGATCATATTTTAATCAAGTCGATTTTACATAAATAGACCTCTGTCAGTATTCATTTTAATATTTATATAAATATATAAATATATTTTTTTTTTATTAAAATTACAAAGAAAAATATATAAATAATACAACCGACTATATAAAAAAAATATTATTTGAGTCTTGTAATTTTTATATCTGGAAGTGATTCTGGTCTTAATATTAACTGTGCTCCAATTATAATATCATTTTGTGTACCCAACGTTTCGATTTTCAATTGTCTTATAACGGTTGATATAACAGTTTTCATTTGATGCATCACATATTTTTGTCCTAAAATGTTTAACATGTTAATATAAATTATCTCCGTCTAAGAAAATATGATATTTAATTATTATTTGGTCTTACCAATACAATTTCTCGGACCAGCACTAAAAGGTAAATACGAATATGGATGTCTGGTACTGTTAACTTCAGGTAGAAATCTATCCGGATCAAAAATTAATGGATTCGGGAATAATTTTTCATCGCGATGCAACAAATATGGAATAACACCAATGACTGTTTGAGGTGGAATTTTGTATTCACCTGAAAATTATCATAAATTCACGTGTACATTTTTTTAGGTGTATAGAGTGTAAACATATTCTATGTTTTTTTTTTTGACAAAAACATTTTCCAGAAATATTAAAATTTGTATTTAAAAACGATTTTTACAATCAAGTTTCTTTTTTTAATTTATTGAGATTTTGTTAAATAAAACTTTGTACCTTGACAATTACAATATTAGAACAATTATTTTACTAATAAAATATTAAATATTAACAAATGAAAAATATAATACATTTTGTTTTATATGGTAATAATAAGTAATAATAAAATAACGCTACAGTTTAGTATTTATTTACATAATAATATAATTTAATGAGAATGAAGAAAAAAAAGAAACTCTTAGATATCGAGTGATTTAATCAAGTTTTAAATCATCACGAGGCAAAGTGACTGTTGGTTTGATACTTGATGAATGTTATTCGTTTGAAAGTGATCAAATTTGATTTTCATCAGTTAAATAAGAATTTGTAGGTAGTGAAAAATATTGATCTATTTAATGGATGATTTGTTTAATTAAAATGTAATAAAATAATATTAAAAACCCTCGACCATAAAAATTATGTACCTCCGCGTATACGACGTACTTCGGCAACAATGTTGTCGTCTTCAGCGCTAAGTCAGTCTGTAAAAGTCAGTCTGTCTTACAGTCTGTCGTTAGCGCTGAAGATGACAACTTTAACCAAGCTACATTTTTATTTAATAATAAAGTAAATTGAAGTTAAAACTTGTATCCAATCTATTCGTTTAAATTATTTACAGGGTTTTTGATTACTCCTATATTTACAAAGCATGCAACACAGCCCTAAAGATGGAAGATGAAATACCTCCGAAGCGTTTCGCAAAACCAATATATAAATAAATATAGGTGTAACCGAAAAGCCTGTGAATAATCCGCGATATCCCCACAATTAGCCCTGCTAGCACGATTAATCCGCGTCCCACATTTTTGTATAATTATTATTTTTATTTTATTGTACTAAAATCGTTTCGAAAAGGTATAATTTAAAAAAAAAGGTACAATTAATGTAATAAAACATAGTTATTTATACATTTTTGTTATGTATGGCTTACCAACGTCGAGATTTTGTCGAAGCCTTCTTGTAAATCCGGGAACACTAGGATATAGTCTAATGGTTTCTTTAATAACCCTTTCTAAGTATGACATTGATTTTAAATCTTCTAAAGTCGCTTCTCTGTCGCTGTCACCGAATATTAAATAAAGTTCTTCTCTAACTAAGTCCTTAAATAATGTGATGCTTAGTATATTATGACAGTTAAACATTTGATAAATATTTCACAAATTGTATATTATTATTAATACTATAACACACAGTCATCATGTTATAGTACAATATACGAAAAATAAAAAGTGTTGACATTTTAAGAGTAAAGCAGTAGAAGTACTAGGAATCCAAAAAATAAGAGACAAGAAAACCGTGGAATACGGAAAAAATTATAAAACAATAATTGAAAAATAATTCAAAATATTATAGAAAGCTATCAAAAACTATTTCTTTAGTTATTTCAACTATGTATTTTTTCCGTGTAGCTTTTGTGATCGTGAAAAAGCTATTTTTCGAAAGAAGACGGAACTGAAATACTAGTACTTTAAGCAGTGAAGCTAATAAGACATTAGAAGCTGAATAAAAGGTAAAAAGATGAAAGAATACCTAAAAGGTTTGTCTGCAGAATACATCAATAAAAAATATACTTGAAGATGAGAAAGATATAGAATATGACAAGGCAGACTATAATATCATCCAGAGAAATTTATTTTGCAATAGAAAATCTAAACAAAAATTCAAATTATTGGAGTAAATGGCACGCTTTTTCGATTATTTTATAATCCATAGACCATAGTACTTTTAATGCTGATTGCGAATCTGCAAGAATTTTGTACCGGACGAACTTATAGTTTGGGAGTTATATCGACATTTGAACATCGCCGATACCGACATAAGCGGGCGCCCGCCAGTGCACATCTACAATTTATTTATTTTTCGATTTTATATAATCGTTATCAGACAAACGTATTACAGCAAAAAAAAAAAGGACGACGACGGGCCGGGGAAGTAGACCCGTCGGCAGCGCAGGTAGACGTACACCGCCGGGCGCCCGCGTATGTCGATATCGGCGATCTTCAAATGTCTATAACTCCCAAACAACATAACTCAGCATTAAAAGTACTATCATTATAAAAAAAAAAAATCGAAAAAAAGCCTCGGTGCTCGGTTAGGTTGTTTTCGCTATTTGATAAAATGTTATTCTGATTGACTGGTCTATTATAATTGCTCGTATATTTAGACATGACAGTTTATTAAAAAAAAATAATTGAGGGAGATGTCGAAGGACACGTTGGAAGAGGAATAATAATGATGGAGTATAAGCTCAAACTATAAAGGACAGTGAAAAATAAAAGGACCTAAAATAATTATTAAGCAACAACAGGGAAACATAGAGAGCTGCAACACACTAATCCGAGGATTAAAAACTGAGTAAAAACACTACTATAATAATTGTGTGTGTTAACTAAAATTTACTTGTATATTTTTATGTATTCCCAGCATAATTAAAACTAAGGTCATGGCAGTTGACGATGTGTCATGTCCTTCAAAAAGAAAGGTGTCCACCTCTTCTCTGATATCCAAATCTGTCATAACTTCAGGATTATTTTTTGACATTCCAACCAGAAGATCAAGAAAAGATTCTACTCGCTTCTTACCTAAAAATATACGTATTACGTTTTTACTTGAGGCCATAATGTTTAAAAACACAATTTATTAGGGGAGAGTTTAGGTGTAAATGAGCTAGCTAAAAATACAGCTGGTGCATAAACACCGCCAATTTCATTAGTGAAATTTTGCTTCTGGGAAATGTTCTATTTGATTTTATAACTTTGTAAATTAAATTATTATGTGTATTATTATTTTTTATGAAGATGAGCCCAAATGAACACGTTTGTGTCAAGGTCAAGTATATGTTAGTGTGTTATAATATCTATCAATAGTGTCAATTACTTTAATTTAAAAACATTGTGTTTTAAACATGACATCAGTTGTACAATAAAAGTTAAATTTTTTTATTTAGTTATTTCCCTATAATTTGCACTATGTGAGCGGTCATTATTATAATTCGTGACATTGATAACAGAATACGTGCAATGACTTACCAAAACAAATCTCTTCGTTTGGAATAGCATTGACTGATTCAAGCCTTTCTCGTTTTTCTTTAATCACCTGCATTAAAAAGTTAAATATTTGAGCTTGAGACTCACAAGAATTGACATTGAATTATATGTATAAAACATGTCTAGCATTGTATTCTTAGCAAATTATCTATCTACGTTTTCTGTAAAATGGTGCAATATTTTTAGAGACTTTTTGAAATCTCTTCCATCTTTACTGATTTTGAAAATAAAATTATTCCACAACCAAAATTTGAATATCCGTTTAACCATAACATCAGTTACACTAAAACAACAGGATCTTATTTTGTTATTTAATTACGAAATCCGTTCTAATGTAGACATACGTATATATAGCTTTAACGTATTCTATTGATTCACCTTCCTGTGATCGCAGTTCTGTGCCCATTATTGTCTCTAAAAAAAAAAAAAAGGTTTTAATGTACAATACCTGTTGAGTAATAAGCCATAAGTTCTAGGTAGAGCGCGTAAGCACTTCGTCAGAAACTTGAATAGAAAACATTTTTTTTTTTGATTCTGTATAGTGTACATTTTGAAATGATTTTTTATTTTTGTGTGCACTATGTATATAATGATAAATGTAGGACCGTATTTAGGAATTTGTCACCCTGGGGCAACAAAAAAAAACGACCTATTATAATAGATTACAAATTAAATGCAATATAAAAAAAATTAGCCGCCCGGGACAACAGCCCCCTGTTGCCCCCCCCCCTAAATACGGCCCTGGATAAATGCTAATGAATGAGGACAAGTGGCCGGGTGGGTAAAGCACCAGTGTGTTTGGCGCTTACTTCGCTGGTTCGATCCTCGGGCACGGCGTTCCGATTGTCGGGTGAAAAATACCTGGTAAAAACTAATCTCCATCCCCCCTGTTCCCTCTCAAGTCTATTAAAAGATATTTTTTATAATTAAAAAAAAACATAATTTATGTAGTAGTAATATAGTATGCACATACTTAACAGGCAGTAAACCAATAATTCTGACTAATTTATAAAATGTACATGATAAATAGTCAATGACCATGCACACAAAAGTTGCGGCATTAGTACAAGAGCATTTTTTTTATTTTACTAACCACAAACAATATCTAAAGCACACAAAGTCATAAAAGAGTAAATAGACACACGTTGATCTTTAACGGTCATTTTTCCAAGTTCATTAGTTAAAAGCCGTGCATGTCTATTGAATGTAGGAATGTAAGTTTCCAAAATTTTGAAATGAAAAGTGTACGTCAACATTTTTCTTCGTGAATGCCATTTTGGATCTAAAAATATGTTTTACATCATTTCATTTAAAAATATTTTTTTTTAAATAGCTTTTGTTTTAATTTTGTGTATACAAAACTATTGTAATACTTACTTGAACTAGTTAGCAGTCCTTTGTTTAACCAAGGTTTAAGCATGCCATACTCTGGTCCTTTATTAATATGTTGTGAGCTGGACAATAAAGCCTAAAAAAATATAACCATTTAATTATATGTTTACTAGAAAATGAGTACTACATTATAAAATGTTAGGTAACGTAGCTAGTTAACACATATTATACAATATATTAATATATATATATATTGTATATATATATATATATATATATATTTTATATTATATATATATGTGTATATAGATGTATGGTATTATATTATTATTAATTACTTATATTGAAAGGAAAAGATTATCATGTAATTGAAAAACTTACTTTTATATATTCTGGATCATTCAATAACACGTATGATTTACCTAATACATTCATATGCACTAAAGGACCGTACTGCTTAAATAAGTTTCCAAAATATGGTAAGACATCTGAAAAAAAAAATGTAATTAACTATTTTTACAATACTGTATTAATACTAACACTTAATATTTAATTATTTGTATTTAGAAGCACACAGATTAAATTTAACGGACATTATAAGTATTAAAAAGTACGGCCAAAATAGGTACTACAGAATAAAAAAAACTAAAATGAATGGAAAGGAATGTATATATATATATATATATATATATACTCACAGGATAATTCATAACCAGGATAATTGTTAATGTAATAAAGTTTTAAACTGTTAAAATTGGAGAATAACAATATAAATAATTACATTTTATATTTATATATAAAATGAATTATCCTGTGATTCATATTTTTATTAAATTAATATGTGACTTCAAAAGTTGAGTATAACATTTACTCAATAACGTAAATTTTATTATTGGGGAAAAAGCAGAATGAGTAAAACAATTATCAGGGTGCATATTATAACAATTTAATAACACGTAGCGTCACTGAGTACATAAAACCATATCAATTATTTACAGGAAGTAAATCGTGAATGTATGTGACTAAAATGTTTTTATATGTTAGCTTGATATAAAAATTAGTTACTTTAAATTACACAAGGTCGATGTGACATTATTATTCCTATGGTCACTTGGTAGTCATTGAATATTGTCTATCAAGATGATATGGATGCTATAAAAATGCTACAAGTACCTACGCTTATAGCATTCTTATTTATTGATTAATTTTTCGCTAATGCAAAATAGATTATATAGAACAATCTTTCCATGAACATTCAGCTTGGAAAATATTAAACATTTTAAAGAAAAAGTCGAAATAAACAAATTATGCTTATTTTTTTCATAGTCAATGATGTAAATACATTTGGCATGCAAGAGGTTATCAAACGAAATATTTAACAATAGTCAGTACTCATTTCGTGGGTGGTATATCAAATAAATCAGTTTGATGGAAATATAATTCAATAATAATCAATTTAATAAAAAACCAAAATAATATTAGATATTATAATATTTAATATTGATATATTTATTGTTACAAACATTGCAAAAATAGTATACTTTATTCCATTTTGTACTATAATTATTCTAGCGTAACCCTGATTATGCAGAATTTGTTTTACTAGGCCTATAATGATTTTAGAACAAAATCACCTAAAATTAAAATGGAAGAAAACAATATTTTGGGAGAAAACATCATAATTAGGATATTATCCTTTATTTAAAAATACTTCTTTAATAAAAAATTACCACTTTTTTAACACAGTTAAAAATACCTTTCTTTACAAGAAGTATTATCCTAAATTCTGTAAAACGCTTTGTTGAGATGAAAAATATTTATCATCGCTGCCAACGATGCTGTTGCCTGTTATAGTCAGGAAAAAAATTAACATAAAAGATTTTTAATTAATAAAATAATTACAGTTTAAGCATTAAATTATGATTTTGTAAAATTTAGTATTACAAAACTTCTTAATAAATAGAAGTAGGTATTAACGTCCTCCTAAACAAAAATTAATTGAATTACATAATACTTGTAAATTTCAAAGAGACTTTGATAGTAACAAATTTAGAACCATGTTCCCTATCATCAGTCCTATATACACATCATACTATGTATTATTTAAAAATATAGTAAATAAACAAAACGAATTGCGTAATTTTCTAAATTAGTGTGGTCTAACAAGATTTATACGGTATACCTCCTGCTACGGGAAATAAAATAGATATCGTTCATAGCATAGGCTCACCTATGTCTAAAATATTCGGGGAGGGGGGCTGTAGCCCTACAAATAAATATAGCTGAAATGTGCGTCGTGGGGCCTAGATCGCAAAACCCCATATTATAACTACATAATTACAGTTTGTAATTCAAGATCAATTTCTAGCTTTATTATTAGCTCAAAAGTTCGATTTTTAAAAAAAGACTGTGTCACATTTTTTTATGGCAATTTGTGAACATGTCTTTTATGTTCATTATCCAAGTATCTTTACCGGTAAGAAAATATTTCGTTTTTTAATTTTATAATGTTAACCCATTAGAAGTTAAAAATAAAAATCTATTACGGTAGGATCAGAACGGATAAGAAGGCGTGAATTTGACACAGTATTTTTAATTTTTTTCAATATTTTCAGGTAAGATTACTAAGCTATAGACTTGTTACGTAGGTAAGTATCGTAAGTCCAGATACAAAAAATAAAAACCTATCATTATAGGAAAATACCTTCTCATCTGCGCATCAATAATATAAATAATTCAATTAATTTACATAAATGCATAGTTATGTAAATTGGGAAGTGGAAACACAATAACAATGTTAGTTTTTTTATAAAACATGAAGCACATGTTTATATTTTTACAAAAAACTACATATTATATTAGCTAACATTTTAGGTTTATGATTTCCCCTAGTGTATTATTGTATTTGTTAGGTGTTAAGCTATTTAAATTTTATAACCGAAATTCTATTGGTAGCAAGTAACACACTTGGCCCATAATTCTGAGTAAGGGAGTTATTTAAATATATTTCTAAACGTAAATAAATAAAACACCCTGGTAAGAGCGTAAAACTATGAAAACATCACTATGAAATTCAATTTATATAAAAGTTATATGAGTTTATTATGCACAATATGGAAACCAGACAAAAAACGACCGAGAGGACGACCAAGACAGCGGTGGATTGACCGAGTTAGGGAATACCTCAAGCTCCTGGGAATAAGAGATGGAGAACAACTGGCTAAGGACGGAGAGGTATGGAGAGGTGTAGTGGAAGCGGCGATGGACCTACATGACCCGGAATAAGCCAAAAAAAAAAATGAGTTTATTATTTGTTGGTTAAAATACTCTAAGAAAATATATCCAAGTACATATTTTCTTTTGGACATATTTTTTTATAGGTATAGACATTTTTACCGAGACTTGGAGCAATATTTATAAATGACTGTATTTGTGGTAAACATTTTTTTTTAAATTAAATAATTATAAATGTCAATTATAACTTTCTAATTAAGTGTTATAAACTTATAATAATAATAATAATAATAAACTATGGTGTTGAGAATATTTATTGTTTACGTGTAAAGGAATGTTAAGCCGGTCCCACTCCCACACGACTCGTGTACTTGACAATCATCGTCATCGTGCCTCGTGGATGCTCATTGCTCGCCGAAATCCGAATTATGTATCTTCTGTGCGTAGCGATTATAGACAATCATAGTCGTTGAACTCCGAGTCATGTGGGAATCCCATCAAAAGTTTTTACGAATATTTGTTATCCCTTTGACACGTGCCACATTTACCGACAACCTTCGGGAAACGCCGAGTGAAAATAATCGTCATACTTTACGATTAATTTATATCTCCTAGTTCCTACACGACTAGTAGGGCATAGCGATTCACCAAACAAGCGAGCTTCTAAAAAGTTCTTTTCGATACAATAAAATACTAAAACTTAATGCATATGACGTATGTATTTCTTTTTAGTCAATAGTTTTCTAATGTCATGGTCATTGCAACTGACTACATATGTTTAAATAAAATACATTTTATTTACTATCAACAAATATTTCGAGGCCAACTAATAATATCCAGCAATAATCGAAATAAACAATAATTATAACAAACTCGATGAATAAACAGTTTTGGAGTTGAAATAATATTTACAAAACATACTATTATATTTAACAATTTTAAACTCATAATTATTATAATACAAGTCTTGTCGTAAAATTTGTTTATAACTTGAATGAAAACATCATTTAATAATTAATATATTGTTTTACTAATAACTTATTTTCGTTACTTATACTTACAAGGACCAAGATATTATTTATAGTAACAATTAAAATTGTCTAAGAACTATCCTATAATCATATTTCATGCTATTATAACTATATTTGTTTTGTATAGCCGCAAATTTAATTTAATTTTAAGTATATTTTAATTATTTTACTTTCGTAATTTCATACAATAAGACTTGTTAATTTTTAATACTTTTTATTGCCATTTTACTTTAGTACGACTCATTTGACTTAATTTACGATGCCCCACTGTACTTGTCTCACTACAATACTAGTGAGCTGTAAATCTTTTTCAAAAAAGCTTGAGTCTGAAGTACCTGGAAACCAATTAACGATTTAATATTTTTAATTTGTATGTAGGTTTCCTGTATACAATATTATAATGAAACTGAATTGTATTAATTTACTTTATTGTAGCCAGAGTGAATTAAGTATTAAGTAGAGTTTTTATGAAACTAAGAAAAAATAGATTTATAACTTTTTTAGTTAGATGAACATTTTTTGTGGAATTAAGATTACGTATATATATATATATATATATATATATATAAAGAGGTACAGGGAAGAGTGGGTGCAGCAAACAGATGCTTTGGAATGCTGATACCACTCTTCAAGTCAAAAGTCCTATCAATAAAATAAAAAATAACAGTGTACAAAGTTCTTGTTAGACAAATTGCATTATGCCTGTGAGACGTGGCCGTCAACGAAAACCGATGAGAAAAAGTTAGCGATATTTGAGAGGAAAATATTAAGACAAATTTTTGGCCCCAAAAAGAATATGGAAACTAACGAATACGCAAAACCAATGACGATCTAAATAGGTTATACAATCAGCCAGATATAATAGCAATAATGAAGAGCAAAAGAATTGGATGTGCAGAACAAGTCTGGCGAGTAGAAGGGAGAATGTTACATAAAATAACTTCATGGATACTAGATAGAAAGAGACCCTTGGGACGACCGAGACAGCGATGGTGTGACCGTGTACATCAGGACCTGCATTTGATAGGAGTAGAGAATCCAAAAGAGATGGCAAGAGACAGAAAAAGATGGGAAGATGTGGTAGTTGCGGCTAAGGGCCTACATGACCTATATTAAGCCTTTAAAAAAATATATGTGTATGTATGGTTGTGTTTAATATAATTAAGTTATAATCTTATTAACATTTATTTAATTTGCAATTTAAATAAATGTAAAGATCAATAAATTATAATTTGTCCTATTCAATAAATATTAACTTTGTTACCTACTGGTAAAGATTTAAAAATGGATAATCTCTACAGTTAAGTCCAAATTAAATCTTGTTTAAAAATTAAAATCAGGGCCAGACCATGAGATGGCAAAAGCTGACCCCTGCTAGAGGCATCGTATTAATGAACAAGCGGGAAGCGCGCAAAATTTGACATAATAATTATACTTCATTTAAAATTTATATTTCTCAAGGAGAGCAACTGATGTTTGGCTCAGCCCTGCTTGAAACTTCAAATAAATTCGAACCTTGGTTGTTTTAATTAGTTTTATAGATTAATAATTATAAATATATATGGATATATGTGTGTAAAAACTTGAACTACACTGGCCTAATCTTATTTTCTTGCTTTTTATTGTGATATTTCCACATTTATTATGTGTATATATTATAATATAACAAAACTAAAAGTACAATACTATTTAGTACGTATGACAATGTAAACTCTAAATTCATGATTAAGTATTTATTAAATATTTTCTTTTTTTATATTGTCGTTTAACCAGAAATGAAGCAATGAAACACTTGAGATACACCACATAAGTACAGGTCAGTACAACAAATAAAAATAATCATAGAAACATAACGATGTTATTTGTTAAACAACAATAATTTTTAATAACTAAAGTTAACAATAATATTAAAAGTTATTAATAGTCTAGTCTTTTAATTATATTTAAAGTTCCCACTTCCCAGGAAAAAGTTTCTAGCAACACTCATATTTTACAATAAAAAAACAAATTTTTTTGATATAATAATTTTGTTTTAGAACTTTATCAAAACAAATAGATTTTATTAGTTTATTAACTTTTTTTTTATAAGTTTGTAAACGATTGTTCAATTTAGAAAAAAAAATGTATACAATTTATTTATTTAGTTTGAGTAAAATATTAATTTTGCCCGAAACTTTCTCTGGAGTCGGAACCCCTGTTTTGTAAGTAATATTTTTGAGGAAGTTTAATATTACTTAGAAAAGATTTTAGAGCGCGTATTTCATCTAAATGACATGCCATCAAATTTGTGGATTATTAGATTATACGAGATAGAAGACAAACGCCTCTTGAAGTTGTGCAGAACCGAAATTGATAGAAACCGGATGACACAGCTATATTTCTAACAAATATTCGTACCTCTCAATCCCTAATTAAATGCAAAATTTAATTGAGCGGTTCAATATGAGTACACGTTAACTTCACGAAAAGTACAGCAAAATCCAAATTAATCCATCTTGACAGTGCATTTAGACTATCTTTTATATTGAAATGTACAGTGCACACATAAAACTGAAAATAAAGTAAATTAAACTAAAAATAAGTAGTATGTAGTGACTAATTGGACGCATGTCAGAGTTGTTACTTGTTAGTATTGAACAAAGTACATAACGTCTCACGTCTGTTATAAGTATTTATTCTAAAGCCAATCTGGACCAACGCAACGGTATCCAACTGTGGGGTTATGCTGGTAAGGTTACCTGGATCGACAAAATACATGCTGCACCACTCAACTCGTACATCTTATACTGTTGTAGGATAAGCACGTCATTGATAATATATTATTATACTTAAAAGAAAATAAATACGGGCAGCACTTCCGGCGACTCGAGGCTGAACAATTAAATTCTTACAAAACCAGCTAACGATTAATTGCTAAAATTATACTAATATTAAGAGACACAAAATTGTAATATTTTTCGTCAATCGACCTCATTATACCGCATTAGTCAAGAGTTTTCGGTTGTCACTGTTCGTTTCCAATGTTCAAGAGTTCGTCATTCAACAACTTGTGCTTCTCCTTATCGAGTACTCGTGTCTTGTGTTTCGTTCGCACCTTGTACCTATCATACATTCATTATCTCTCTATTTAGCTTTACATTTTTTTTTAATGACGGCTAATCGACATCCGCGAAAAAACCGGACAGCTAACCGCGACACCGTCGGCAACCCTATCAATAGTTTTGCAACTATCCAGTGCGAGGTTCCTTCTTCTTTTATCTTACGACAATACCTTTAAACCATAATAACTGTAGAGTAATTCTTGTTTGCTTATACTGTACTTATTATTTTTGCTTATGGTATTTTATTGATTGTCGTATTATGGTTATTTATTGTTGTTTGTACATTGTGTAAACTATTGCCTTAAGTCTTAAGGGCGTCAAACAAAATACATTATTTTTATTCAATAAACGTTTTCGACTAGGCATATATTTCCTTTAAATAATTCTAACCTAATTTGAAAAAGTAGTAAAATAGGGTTATATTTGAAAATTCTAAATTGATAGTAAATAGTTGAGGTTAATAGGAGAGGTGACAACATTTTTAAAAGTTTGTGAATTTAGGCGTTTTAGATTACAAAAAGTTTTTATAAAATAAATTGTAGCTCTAACCCTTAAATCTTCTATGATTTAAGTATCTAAAGGCTAGTTCATCTTATGTAAATCGTCCACGTGTGATAAATATTGGTACTTGTACATTTTGATCATATTCTTAAAAAAAAATTTTATTGTCAAAAATGTATGGAATTATAACTGATTATTACCTATAAAATGATTTAGAAAAAAGTATTATAGAGATTTATATACAATCAAAATATTTAATTATTAATAGGAATGGAACCACAAAAATCCAGACTAAAGTGATATAAAAATCCATTATAAATATAATTTTTAGTTATGCATTTAAACTTCAAATATTTGCTGAAAACGATTATACAAGTCAAAATTGATTTTGCTTAATCAATAAAATTAAAAAACTTAGAATTTCATACATTTTTTAAACAATTTTAATTTGGTCAATTTTATTAATTTTGTTTAATATTGTTTTTAAACGAATATTTCTATTCGGACATCTATTTATGAATGTTGCATTTATTCATTATTTAAAAATATTAGCATCTATCGTTTCTTTGTACCACAGATTTTGAAAGTTTCGTCCTAACTGTTGTATTGTTTAATTACACGGTTTCCACCTATTATATACTTCCGAAACACGTTAGTATTAATTTAATTAACCCTTCCCTTCCCTGATATTGGATTTGGAAAAAATATATTTCTATTAATACGATTACAATGGACTTTCGAGCGATAAATTAGTGTAATTTCTATATTTTTTACTTAATAAATTATTTAGATGTGCTAAGGGTTGCGCGATCTCTATGTTATAGAATACTGAATATACTATACGAACCTGTAGATTTGAGGGTTGCGTGATGTAATGATAGTTTGAGCTCGGCCAAGTACCCACGGGGTAGTGACGGCAGTTTAGAAGACATTCGACGATATTCCGCAGGTCTCTGGGCACGGAAACACATGGAAAACGCCAAAAGTAATACGACTACCGAGAAAAACACCCACGCCAACATGCAAACGCCGAATCCAATCATATTTAAAACGCTCGATAATGAATTAGGTAAACAAGTTAGCAGCCAACACTGTGAAAACAATTCATCGGCGATGATGATTGACTATTTTGATAGTAGCCGGCTTATATAAGATATCCAACGCCACAGTGGTATTGTGAGTCTTGGCGAACAAGACTAGGTTCGACGGACGTCCTTATAAGTATACAAAAACACCTATATTATATGCGAGTCACTTCATAAGCGGCATACGCACCAAAGAAGAGGGGTCAGAGGTAGCCAGAACCTCCTTCTTTCGTCTACGCGTTCTAAAATAAATACACATTAACATTATAATTTAATCATTACTAAAATTATGTTATACTATTCTGTACCCATAAGAATTTCAATATTGGTACCCTTTACATCCAATCACATATACTGGACACCTGTGTGTACGCCACTACATCGCACGAGTGGGCCAGAAATCAATAATAGTTGGCTAAAACTATAAAATAAAATTATCGATATTTGTTATTATTAATGACTGATTGGTCTGTGTACCTGTTTAAGATAAGGAAAATGACACGTAGAATGGTAATATTATTTTTATAACCCTAGTATCGATACGTTGCATTGATAAAGTCTTATATTTTCTAAGCGGACGTTCTTATATGGCATTGCACTATTGTTGTTGGTTAACATTTAACTTAGTTTTTTCGTTCGATTTTATTGTTTTTACATATAGGTATGTTTTTATGCATTTAATAATTGTACGATTTTTTTTTAAAGTTTTATTTAGTTCATTGCATAATTTTTTGATTTTTTAGTCAATATTATTTCTTTGATAGAGTCCAAATCATTTTTCCGGCGAGCTCTTGCCCCGAGAAATTTATTAAATAACAAAACACATCATTCCGATCATAAAACAAAATATTGTTGTTATTTAGTTGACGTGTATGCCACGGAAAAAACACATAGTTGGTCCAACTAATATTATGGTTAATATAGGGACACAATCATTTTTTAGTTAGAATAACTAGATTGATGTAGGCCTAACTAATTTTTTAGTTAAAGCAACTACATTTAGTTCAGTTAACTAAATGTTTAGTTGGGCTAACTATTAATTTGGTTATTCAATCTAGAAATTTATTTTTATTTTTAACCGGGCCTGTTGGGTACATTAAACGTTAAACTGAAATACAAATTAACAAAATTAAATTATATATTTTGAAAAGCTATACTCCTTACCAAGGGCATATGTGCTTCGAAAAACGGAAAATCATAAAAAATGTAAAACTTGGCTTCTAATCGTCTCGTTTATAGTTGCAATTTGTATACATGGTCGTTGTTTTATGTTTAATAAATATGAATTTGTATAAAATATGTTAAAACAAATTTCATGTCGCAAAAAAATATATAGCGAATCACGTGTTAGATTCCAAAAAAACAAATAATAACTTATTCACTGGTTATAAGGAAATGTTTAGTTGATGAATTATTATGTTTAAACAAGAATAATAATACATTTATGCGACAATGGGCGTCAGGCTCGTGAAGCGTCATAAGATCGAACCGTTGTATATTTTACAAAAGAATATTAATATTAATAATTATTATTCTGAGCATGAAAGAACTATCGGATTTTTTTAACACATGTTGTCTTTAAAATAATACCAAAAGCAAAAAACAATAACACATTTTTGTAACGTCAATAATATATTGTAGACAGTAGACTTCTTAGGAAGGGGAAATAGTACGGCTATTGTGCTCTACCGTAACAACACCAAGATCATTTCTCAGCATTGACGATCATATCAAAAGAAGCCAAATCTATTGCGTTAATAATATTATACTTACAGGTGATTATAAAGGACTAATTGCCTACTAATGTAATTTGATCAAATTAAGAAAACAAATCCGCCTATTATGACTAATGAGTTTTAAGCTTGTGTTACCATAAATAACATTCAATAGCAGTGACGACAACGATTTTTCAATAAGAATACAACATGATTATCACATCAATATGAACTATAGACTGATTTCACAATAATATGGATATTTTCAATTGTAGCAAAGCTTAGCTTATTAAGGAGAAAGGAACTTGACATAGAATGAAAAGGATCAATTTTACTGCCCCCTCCTTATTAAATTTTAATTTTTGATTACGCCAATAGTTTATGCACAACTACTCCACGAGTTATTCAAAAAAACAAACTGAGAGAAAGGAGTAAATAAACGGTATACTTCCATTTTAGAACTTACAGATTTTTCTCAATGCAATAATTTGTGCAGTATTATATATCATAACTTTTAAAAGTTACCTACTTTAAAGATACATATTAATTCAAATTAGGTTTTAAAAAATATATATTTCAGGAGAAATAATGTACTTTTTATTACGTAGAATACTTACTTTGAGAGTGTTTAACTATATAGTTATACTATAGTTAGGTTTTAAAACATGTTTTGCACATGAACATATCTTTTGGCTAATTGTTTTATGTGAAAAGGTTTTTATATATAATCCATAGAAACGTATATATATATATATATATATAATGTATGGTTTATGGTAAGAAATAGGTCTAAGACTAATCTTTTATGTTAGTCTAAAATCTAAATAATTATTGTGGTGTATTGTTATTTCTAAACATAATATAATGTATTCCATGCAGCAAAAAAAAAAAATATTTAAAATTTGAAAAAACAAGTGAATATTATGAAAATTATCATATACTACCTATATAGGAAACATAAGCTACATCTACATTTTAGTCGGTCGTTGTAGTACATTTATCTTACCTACTTAAAATTATGTCAAAATGATGTCCCCTGTTTGTGATACGTTAGTGTGGTTTTGTGTCCGATATTTGTGAAGCGTTGCTCTGGTCTCTTCCGCTTCTTCTTTATCATCGCATTTCACTCCCAACTACATGGAGTCGGCCACCCTAGTCCTACATCTCGTTCAATCACCCCAGCTATCCTCATATCACTCTCTATTCCATCTATCCATATTTTCTTCGGTCTTCCTCTTCCTCTCTTTTTCTCTACATTCACCTTCATAACACCTCTCAGCCTTCTGTACACAAATTACCTGACGCTGCTCTCCACTTCATCCATCCACAATTTATCCTATTTTTTACGTCCTCGTCATAAGTCATACCCGCCATTTTTTTGTACTACCTATCCTAAGTACTTAAACCTATCAACCTCACACACTTCATCATCACCCATCTGCTTTACCTATCTTGCCCTATAATTTTCTCCAAAATCAAACACAGCAAAAATAATAGATAAAGTAACAGAATATATACTATATAGAGTATGAGTTTGGAGGAAGAGGACTAGAGTTTGATGAGACAAGACGAGTCATGACATAGGATTAATTACAGTTGGATCAAGTGGAAAAAAGCGTCAGATTTTTTTGCATAATAAAAAAGACTTAAATACAAGTTCTGCAAAATGTGGTGAGACGGCACTGAGACCGAATATATTGTAAGGTTCGGAGGTTCGGTACGACGGTAGATAGGACAACAGAACAGAGAATGAGTGTAATGGAGATGGGAATGCTTAGATGGAAGAGTGGATTGATGAGAAAAGATAGGATAAGAAACAAATACGGGATAAGATAGCATAAGCGTGGTTTTGATATCGGACAAAATGAGAGAAAATAGACTGAGATGGTTTAAGGATGTTATGAGGAGAGAGCAATCGGAAGCAGTAGGAACGGTAAAGATATTATACGTAGGAGGTAAGAGGGGAAGAGGATAACCGAAAAAATGGTAGTTGGATGCGATTGAGGACTGCTTGTGTATGCGAAGATGATGTGTGAGATCATGTCGTGAGGAGCTTTAGGACAGGGGTGGCAAACCTTTTGAGATAGTTGAGATAAAGGCAAAGGAGAATAGGACTTTTAAAGTTACTAAAATTTAAAATTTAGGTGAAGTGCGGTAACGAAATACGGTCAGGTAAAAATAATACTGTACTCCACCCTTAAATTATAAACGTTAATAACTTTAAAAGTAATTATCCAAAATGGTTATCGTCCAGTCAACATTTTCAAAAAATGTATTTAATTTAAAAAGTAATTAAATATATACGTTACCATTAAAGCTTCAAAAGTTGATATAGGCATATAGCTCTGTAAAATACTAAAAAGGTAAATATTTGGTAATTTTATACGTTGTAAAATAACATGAACAAAATTGTTTTCAAAAAGAAAAACTCCATATTTACAATTACTTATTTTTTAAAAAAATGAGTGTCATATAAAATGAACCATATATGATATTTATACTCTACCGATTACTATAATAACAAAATGGATATACAATTAATAACTAAATCGTATTATTCAATTTGTTGATAATAAACTTAATTTAATTTATAAATTTTGTACCCCAGGACAAAACGAACGTGCCTAAGTCTACAAATGGTAATTTTGCAGTTATTAAAAATCTAATTTTGCATCAAGTGGTACGATCAAAATTCCGTTAAATATTCCCATTATATTATATTATACAAGGATATATAATAATGTACCAAAGAAACTGTAGATTAACATATTTTTCGTAATGCTTTTACATAGCATAGGCCATAGACCTTATAAGTTATACTACTGACTACTAGACGGAACATTCGAGTAAGATGCGGGCGGGTGGTGCGAACACGACTATTGTCGTAACAGTGACACCACTGCGAGTAGTACCTACAAATTGTTGTTTAATAAATTATTGTACAACATAATTTTGTTTTGTCTCATTTATATATTTATATTTTAGGAATATGAAGACGTCTCAATAAATATTTGTGTAAAGATATGTATAACATTCAATACATTTATAAAAAGACTTCATAAAAAAAGTACTGGCGAGTGGAATTTTCTACCAATGTTACAATTAAATACTGCATTACAAACCAAACACTTTCTTGTACCCATTTAAAAAAATTATACGTATACAATAGTAAAATAACAAGTTAAATTTTTAATGACCGAATTATAGCTGTCGACTTAAAATTTAATTTTAGCGGCATATAAAATTTGATTATCAGTCACGAGCCGCGACATATTATCATACAATACTTTTTAAACTGTGCAGTGTGCACTATATTTCTTAAACTGGGTACTCAAATGCGCATGACCACATGACCTAAGTACGTCGTCTAGTCTCGCCGACAGTGCAGTCACGTTAGCTCGCTGGAACTACATGCATGTTTCGGCCTCCGTCTAGTAATATGAGTTCTGGTGATAACACGAATTAATGAATTTATATTTAATCTGTAGTGATAATAGCTGAATGATAACATTTATTAGAAATAAGGATAAACAAAAAACCTTTGTGTAATAATATAACAAAAGAATAAGCTAAAGTAAATCTTCGAATTAGCTACGATTTATATGTTTAATATAAATTATAATATAGTATGCAATGTACATTAATACCTAGAACAAACGATTTTCGTCAAAATAATAAATACATTAAACAATTTTTAATATGAAGTTGAAGTTAACTTTTTTACTACAAGTACACAGATAATTATTAGCACTTAACAAATTGAATATGTCTATCGAGTTGAAACCTTTTGCTAAAGGCATCGATCACTATAAAATAAAAACTTATTTATTTGGTTCCGATGATAATAATGGTAAATTAATATGATAAATTTTAAATATTTAAATCATTAACAAACTAACTCAATTTTATTTGCTTTAGTTGATTTGTTTAATGATACGATCAATTGTATTTCTCCCGGAGGTGAAATAATATCATTTGCCCACTGTGATAAAATAATAACTTGTACAAGTATTTCAACCATTTTATCATTAAATTTTAAAAAATTTAGAATTTGTTCTTGAGCTAATTTTATATTGTGTTTGTGTTCTAGTAAAATGGATGTCAAATTCCACCGACGGCATAAGCCAGCAATTTCAAGTTATGTGGAATGATACTTTATGCAACTTTAAGTTAGTACATTAATTATAAAATTTAGATCCTTAAGAAAATTAACTAGAAATAATAATTAATTTAATTTTTATAGTGAAAAAATTACTTCAGTTATATGCTTACCTATATCTGCAGTTAATGTTAAACTTTCTTCTCACTCTATTCCCGAGTGGTTTTGTATAGTGGTCGGATTTTCAAGTGGTAATGTTAAATTTTATAATGAGGTAACATAGAAAAAAATTAAATTTTGTGTTATGTGTCAAGAAAAAATGTTTGTATTTTCTTATTATTTGTAGGATGGTGAAATATTATTCTCGCAAACATTTTATAATGGAAGTGTTTTGAAAATAAGATGCCAAAGTCATCAGCCTGCCAAAAATAACCCACCTACAATTGAACAACCTGAAGAGCTATCAATCTTGTATTGTGATGTAATTTGTACTATTGATGGTACACTGCTGGTTAACTGTTTAAGATCATGTAAAAATCAAATGGCAAAAAGTATGATATAAAAATAAAATTTTTATTATCATAATACCTATTTGCTTTAAGGATAACCGATATTAATAAGTTTCAAAAATTGTGCGCGTATCATATATGTAGAAATGTGAAATATTTCATTATTGAGTAATGTATTTTTATATGACGCTTATAAAAATGTGCTTACAATACGTGCAGGTATGAAGCAAGCCTTATATATCAAAAATCGTTGCATATTTTACTTGAAAGGCAATGGCACTAAGTCTTATACATTTTAGTGAAGCGAAGTCTAAATATTAAACACCCACGAACCACCTGAAAAAATCATTAATCGCAGTTTTGTGGAGGGCTAATTGCTAGGTTATGTTCTTATAAAGGTTTAGAGCTCTATGAGAAATGTTATGTCTCCCATATTATGCTTATATGCTTATGCTATTATGCTCATATTATGCTTATCAAATAAATGTGTGTATAAATACATTTTTATTTAAAACCATAAATAACAAATTATTCAGTGATCCAAACAAAAATGTGTTTCAAATAATTATTTATTTGTTATTTAAAAAAATATGCCTAAATTTTCTAACAACAAAGGGAGTCTTAAAAATATAAGATTTGTCAAAAAATGTATTATAGTTTAAAAACGCGCTTTTCAAATAATTTTTAAATAAATATAGTCGTGTACAAATAATGTTTTTAATGTATTCATAGAAAATTATGGTTGTCGTCTTTAATTTGGTGATAATTAATTATTGTTCTAGAACGATTATAGCCCGAATTCTATTAGAAATCTGGGCATGTTTGTGTTATGCTTGAAGTGCACAATAGAGACAGAACATTAATTACCATAGTGAGACCATAATAATAGTCTAATGGTATTATTTTCTTTACATGGAAACAGATTTTCTTCTATAATAATTGATACATCTGTGTAAATTTAGTTTTATATTTTTAAATTTGTTTAAACAGTTATTAACATGTCAAAATATGTAGTTATTTCTTATCGTATCCACTATTATTTAACACTATCTTTCACTATTAACATAATTATACAAATTATGTTACAAATAGGTAATTTACATGAACTTAATCAGAATCGCTTTAAAGAAGAAAACAAACTATTCGAGTTTTAATAAAAATATTAGGTAACTTGTAAACTTTCGACATTTAGAAGATTTTTTCCGCAGCTGTACAATATAATTCCTCTTTCTACTTTTTTTTAAAAATTTTTTTATAATATAGGTATTCTTATTAAGTAGCAGTGGAGTAATTAGTTCTAATATTGTATTATTTATTACTAGCACTGCTGTAATATACTTAAATTGTAAAACAATTTTAGTTCAAGGGAATTGTGCCAATTCCATAATTTGTCCTTCATTGGCTTACAAGAAATGGGCATTTGATTCTCAGAGTAAAATTAATGATGCTGCTGTTGGCGGAAGATATGATATAACAAGTTTTCAACATATAGTAGCAGCAAATATTTGTAAAAGTTTTAGTGGAGATAAACAAAATACTTTACCTAAAATAACTCAGATTATAGCCGCTGGCAAAGAACCATACTTGGCGTTTCATTTTAATATTGATGGACAACCTCAGCTGACATTTGGAAATATAACTAAAGCTATAGCGAGTAAAATAAAATCTTCAATTAGTCAATCTCTGCCGTTAGTATATTTTCTTAACTAACTTTTTTAATAGTACTCCTACTGTAATTGTAAAATTTTTGAAATTTTATAGAACTTGGTTAACACATAATCTGTCTCTAAATGAATCGTTGTATTCGCAAGAACTCCCTGAACAACTTGGATGCCGGTAACCTACCACAACAGTAGTAATATTCTAGTACTTTAATTGATTCGTGTTATTGTTTTAGTTTTAAACTAAATGATGAAAATCGTGAAGCATTCAAAATAGAGTTGAGCCCACAATTATCTGTTGGTGTTATTTCTGATAACTTAGATAAAGTAACATTGTTTGAAGTCAATGCTGGGGGAATTATTCGGTTAGGTTAATTTTATGAAAGTAACTAAAAAAAACCTTAATAAAGATCTTAGTATATTTATATATTTATAGAACATGGGATGACTGTAAAGATGTACAATTTGGATGGATTGTAGTCAGTGAAAACAAAAGTTCTAGTTCTAAACAAGCATTATTTTTAGTAATGTATTTACCAAACCAAGAATCTCTGGAAGTATGGGCTATGCAAAACTATGAAAAGGTATCAGCGTTAAAAGTTTCAAAAAATGGCAGGTAAATTCAAAAAAATATGAAAACTTTAAGATCATTTTTATAATATGGCCAAACCTTGGAATTTTTCATTTAAATAACAAATAAATATTTAAAGAAAATATTTTATTTTATTATGTACTTTTATTTACATTTTTTTTATTTCAATAAAACATTTTTTTAAAGTTAAAATTAAAATTGTATCTCTATCATTTTTAATTTGTTATTTAAATAACATTTTATTTATTATTTGAGTTTTTATTTAACTACATTTTAATTAATGTATTTTAATTATTAAGTTGTTTTAACTAATTTTTTGATATTGTATTTAAGTAATGGTTTGAGTTTTATATTATATAAAAACATATTTAAATAATGTCAAATTTTTAATGTATCATTAATACATTATTCAGGTTGTTCTACACAAATTTTGGTTTACTCGGGACTTTAAGTACATCAAGAGCTAATATTTATAACGCTAACTACCGTTGTTACTTCATTGATGAAACAGAAATAATACAAGAAATAAGTATACCATTTCATTGTATTGATGGGTAAGAAAAATAAATGAGGGAGTTAAAGCCATAGTGGTGTAAGTCACATTTTTGTAAAAATTGAGTTAAGTTTTGTAAGCATATCTTAAGAAATCAATTTATTGAAAGGCAAAGTAAATAAGTTGTACCCATAACCCTGTGCACCAAATAGCAGCACAATACAAACATTTTTATTAAACCTTGTATTTCTCTGATTAAGAATAATGTATATATATCACCATGGTTTTAACCCCCTCAAATGTCTTAAAAATTAGTTAACACTTATCATTTATAATGTATTTTTACTGTATAGTAACTTAAACAGTGAGCTGACACGAGATATGCACTTATTGAGAACCTTCAAATCATTGTGTAAAAACGAAAATATAAATGATGAAAAACTATGTGAAGAGGTCATTGTTTTAGCAAATAAATTGAGTACTGATAAAGTGAGGCAACAAGCTTTTGAGTATATTAAGACCAGTAAACATATGACACAAAATGCATTTGTTCATTATTTAAAAAGATTCAAGGAAATAATCGAGAAAGAAGGTACACTCTATATTAAATTAATGGCTGTTAAAAAAATCTAAAAGATATTAATTTCAGATTCTAGCGAACCTCTAAAAAGAGAAACTTGGTTGAAGACAATTGATTGTAATTTAAAACTTGTAATATACCTATCATTTTTATTTAATTTTCAAGAAAAACATTGTTGTTTACCAATAAATACTTCTTCAGCTGATGATAAAACACAAGTAAAACTCATAATTCTGTTAAATTAAAAGGCGCGGATGACAATGATAAGCATATCTGAGTTAGATTGAGCATTGGTCGGGCAATTGCCCAGTAAGTAAGACACTTAGGGTCTATTCCAGGTCTGGCAACAAATTGTTTTCTATGTTTTCCGCGTCTTAAACAATCTATATAGCCTCTGTTTAATGAATTCTATATTTGTTTAACAAAATTGTTCTGTTGCTCATAAATAAGTTATAGTATTTACTTACAGGAATTGTGTAAAACGCTACGTATAAGCGACCAAGACTTGGATAAAATAATTTCGTTACTTCCTATAGAACCACAAAGAAAAATTGTGGTCATGTTTCAAGATGAAATGAAACTTAGTTATACCAAATTAACTGAATTAATTACTTGTTTTGATGTGTCTGGAGAACATATAATCTTAAAAAGAGATATGAATGTGGATGATTTATGTAAATATTTCAATAAATAAATGTTTTTAACCTTTTGTTGTAAAGAGCTCGATCGCAGCTGTTTATTTGTTCGTTCAAAATTAAGCCTCTCATGGCTCTTAAAGTCTTTCAAATGTGATCAATTTTTTTGGTTTTTTGAATGAGGAGACAAATTTTTACAGTTTGCATCAGTCTCCGATTCTTAAAATTTGAATTTTATTTTATAACCGTTTAAATATTAGGTTTCTTTTTTTATATTAAAATTTTGTGATATTTTGACAATTAAATAAAAAATCAAGATTAATGCAAATTGTAAAAAGAATTCCTCTTTCAAAAAAAGAAGTGTTCAAAACTTGGTCACTCTACGATTCTACATCATTTTCCCAGTAAAATCATTCTCTACCACCAAAATGGATATTACTTTTATAAAAGAATTGCTTACATAAAAAAAAGATGCCAAAGCTTATACAAATTAACTTAAAAATAAATTGATCAAAATTTGTTAGATCAAATTTTTTCTCAAATATTTCCTATATATTTTGACCCCTAATAAAATCCACAACGGACTTTAAAGATTTCATTTTTAACTATTATACTTGAGTTATACTATTTTAATTTATAACAGGTAAAAGGATGTTTGAAACAATAATGCACGCCGATGGAGATATTAGGGAATGGAACTTAGCATGGGTAACTAGTGGTATAAAATTATCTGACATGATTTATTTGGCTGTCCAGTACTGGTTGGCTAAACCTCTTACCCTAACAGTTGTTACGGAAATGATCAATTTCTATCGTGTAATTGACACAATTTGTAATACAAGTGGTAAATATTATTATTACGGAATGTACTATTATACATATAAAATGTTATATATAATTTTTTTTTTTTAATAGATGGAATTATAGAAAAAAAGTTTGATTGGAAAACTACACAAGATCAATTTTCACATAGTTCTAACACTTTTGCTTGTTTAACTGGAGCAATTATTTGTAAAAACATTGCCTCTATTAAAAAAACAGGTGCCATTTCAAATTATTATAAAATAGTTGATAGTATTCTTAACTGTGTATTATCATTGTATAAATGGTCACTGTAATGATAGTTGTTAATAATAATTATTATTATTCGCTTCTAGTTAAAGTAGATGCTGAATGGGAATGTATTTCCAGTGAAGATTATCAATGGAATTTATTAATAGAAAGACTTGAGCAAGTTTGTCATTTAAATACAACATTAAAATATCAGTCTGTGGAATCTGCTGCTACTCTTTTTTGTATAACATACAATTACTTGCCAATAACATTGGTGGATCTATTAAAAAAAGGACGAGGTAAATATTTGTAATACGCAAGGTTGATGAGGTGATCTTGTATGTGTGGTTTATTTTGTAGGTGGTGTGTCTACTTTAGTCGCCAAGTGGTTGGCCAGTATTGGTATTAATCCGAGCTTAATAAATGACGATTATTTAATGGATATAAATAACAAAATGTGTGATCCTCCAAAAGAAAATAAAGTTATAATGGGTGTCCAAGAAGGTATAGCTATAAATACCGAAACTGCATTGGAAGCTAATGTTTTGAGCACAGTAGAAAAAGAAACATTGGATGCGTTAAAAAGGTTAAGATCATGTTTTCCATACAGTTTAGACAGTAACACGTTGTTGAGTAACATAAATTGGGAATATTCATCAGTTTGGCAAAACTGTGTTGCCGATCTAAGGCCATTAAAAGCAGCTCTGAAAGTTGCTGAAAATATATCTTGTTCTCATATAAAACAAAGTAATTTGAATTTTAATGTTATAAGTGTCAATCTTAGAACTATTGTTTGTTAATACATTAATAACATTAATACATTTTAATAACAGGTATCACTAGTTTAGTTTGGTCGACATATTTATCAAATGTTTTTCAATCGGCCGTGAGACTTATTCACCGATTGGGAAAAGTTCCAAAAGAGAAGTTATGTATACAAGATGTAGGCATGCCAGATCGGTGTATAGCACAATTTTTTGAAATATGTGAATGTTTTATTGAAATTATTATTAAGGTAGTAGGAAATATGTTTATTCAAACTTCTATCATTTGATTTTTCTAATATTATATTTAATGGTTAGGCGTCACTTTTAGTTGAAGAAGACGAATTGGCTGAAATAAAACACGACTTGTTTTGGGAAAATTGGAAAACTAATAATCAGCATGAACTCACTCTTGTTCAAAAAGCTCTGCACCAGCCTAATCCCGATCAAGATATGCTTTTTTTCTTGCATCAGTGTGCTAGAACATTTCATATATTATCTAAATTTTCACTACACATTAATAAACCATTTAACAATCTATTTGATTGTAATGTAAGTTTTAATTTTTGTATTAAAAATTATAAATAAGGTTTATACATTTTTTGTAATCAAGCTTATATTTAAATTTAGATCAATGAAATTGATTTTTGTTCTTTAAATCACCAAAATTTCAAAAATGAAGAACAACCGAGATTTAAAATTAAAAAAGGAAGGATTGATTTTCTTACTACTTCAATAAGTTCCGCGATAGGACTTATACAAAAAGATTGTGAGGTATGATGATTTGTTTTTAATATTGCATTTTTTTCTTTAAATTATAGTAATTGTTTTTATATTTTTTTTAATAAAAAATTGCTTATTCAATTAAGCTATATGACGTGATAACATTTTTTTAGTAAGATCACTCATCAGTTTTAATAGGCTGTAACTTGATAAAAACAATTATCATAAGAGTGATTTCTAAGTGTCAATTGTGAATTGGCATATTTCACCTTTGTGAATCTTTTTTAAATTTAAAAATGTTTGGTAGTTTTCAAGTTATAAATTTGTATGGCAAAATTAAAATTGTTAGGCCTATTTAAAAATAATCTATATATGTAAAAATGAATGTATGTGTGTGTCCTTTATGCATTAGTACACCATTCATCCCATCGCCATGGAACTTTGGAAAGTTGTTGAGTATACTCCCACAAAGTTAACTAACATATAGTACTTTTTGAAAATTCCACCCCTAAGGATGGCCTCAAAAACGAAAATTTCTACTTTAAATATGAAATATTTTTCGTGGCTAACCCAAAATAAACACTCGAGCGAATAGTAGGTGATGATTAAAAACAGGCTGATTCTGGAAACGCTATTAAATATTGGAACTGGATCTGGGTCTGGGACCCTTGAGTAAGAGGGGGACATAATCAATATAATGTAATATATATATGTAGATTAAAAAAAAAACCGAAATGGGGTATACTAAAGCTCTACAATATACAACCCGGAGTACTGAGTTTTTTTAATCTTATTTGTAATTATTTTACTCAGCCCTGGCAAACTAAATCCCGGCAACGCCGGGTCCGGACAGCTGTATATTATCAAACTGTTATCAAATTAATACTGATTTTAGTATAAATATTTCATAAATAACTTGACATTTTTGTTTTAAGGATGGCCACTGTGAATTTGAAAGTAAAGAATATTTATTTTGGATAAGTAAAATATTTCAATTAGCTATAGACTGGCAATTACCTCTCGACGAACTTCGAATACATCAAGTGGTATCCCTTTATGCAAAAGGCCATGATCGATTAGCAGAAGAAGTATAAAAATATATGATAAGCCTTAATTTATAAACTATAAAATGTTAACATAATATAAAACGTTGCATTTATATAGGTAGTTCCTACTATTAACAATAAAGACAATTTGGTCAAATTTTTGTTAAATATTATTAAACATAGATTGAAGTACGAGTTGACGGTTAATGATTTAGACTTCCATGATAAAATTGTTCACTTCAGTCCAGAAATAATTTTATGGTTAAACACATCAGTAAGACTTAAAAACAACACATTATATTGTAGTATTTGTTACATTAAAAAAATATGAAATTATTGTTTTAGGTTACTATAGAAGTGGAGAAATCATTATTAAAGGAAATTCTGGAATTAGTTCAAACTGTTATTACTTTGTTGCCAGAAAACAGTGACCAATATGAGTTTGTCACTAATTTAATGGACAGTTTAAATTCACTAATAAATATAAATAGACAAGAAAAATGTAAGTTCTTCATTTTTATTATTATATCATAACGCTAATCGCTAATTAATAAAATATTTTAGGATTAACTGAACATCTTGTTAATGTTGATAACAAGTAAACTACAAAGCAAGTGTATACAATTTGAGTATAGTTTACTACACTGCATTAATTACTGAACATAAAATATGAGACTTGGAATAGTCAAAGACCTCCAATATTTTTATGTTTTAGTTAGTGTGGATTTTCAAAAAATATCAATGTTATATACTTCAATACTGTATGGAAAAAATATTGAAATATAAGTGATTTAATAATTTTATATAACATTTTCATCAAATACATTTGTTATTTTAGATCTTTAAAACATATCTATAAATTGTATTTATAACATATTTTAAATATCTTAAGTAATGTTTTAATTTTGTGCTTTCCATCTGTAGCTTCAGTAGTAAAAAAGAAATTACAACAAACGAAATGTGATATATTAATAATTTGTATTAAATATTAATTTGTTACATAGTATAATATATATTTTTTACTTTTTGTTTTTAACCGTCCCATAGTTTTGAATTATATTTAAAGATTTATTTTTTTTAATGTTTTGTGTTTTTTTATTTTTTGAGGTTCTTATCATCGTCTTGGGTATTTTAAAAAGTTTTTCTTGATTTTTCTTAGTTTCAAATTCTTGTTTTAATTTTTCTTTAAGCTGTTTGTAGTTTAAAAAATTATTTTTTCTTGGTTTTGCTCCCAGTTTAATAGCTAGCTCTTCTTTTAGTTTAGAATTGTGAGAATCAAATCGATTTGTAAATTTAATTACTTCATTTTGCAATTTTTTTATATTAGTTTGTTCGTTTACTTGCTGAGACAAATCTGATGTGTCACTATGACATTCTTTCATTTTTTTTGGCATGGCCTTTTTGGTTTTATGTTGAATTATTTCAACTTGTGGTCGCTGACGCTTTAGCCTTGATGATAATGTTTCTACTAATTGAGTAGATGCCATGTTATACAACTAATTGTACTCTTCCTGCCTCCTGTAAAAATTATAATTATTGTATTACAGTTTAGGATTTAAAATGTATTAATTATAGTGGAAATATAAAATTATAATTTTATTTTGTTGTGAATTTAATTATAACTAGACAAACAACTTGAGCATTAAGGGGACAAGCTACATAACATAAACTCATCATATAGCACGTATTATACAAACATATTTCAAATGCTTATCTTAATACAATATTAAATAATTATTTTTATTTAGATATTTATTTTTAATAAAATGTTCAATGTACTGTGTTATGATTATAATAACCTATTAGGAATAAAAAAGTATTAATATCAATATAAATACAGATATTTCTAGCATACTAATAATAATTACTATAGTTCACTGTAAATACTTGGTAGAAAATTTTAAGCCCCACATATTGCGTCTGAATGGCAAGTATTTGTAAAGAAAACTAACACATAATATGTAGTTTAGCAAATTTCTTAAATTTTTACCGACAAGAAAAGAAAATGTTCAGCAAATGCTGAAAATCTATTCAAATACAAACTGCTGAATACTCAAATTTTGAATTTTAACCTATTTATGCTAACATAATAATATGTACAGGAGATATTAAAAATAAAAACATGTGTTTTAATTGTAGAAAAAACATTTTGAAAAAAGTTTTAAATTTTTGTATGCAGAACTAAGTAGTTTCTATCTCACAATTATTCCATATAATACAAATGCTTACCAAAAACTAAAATTATATAGCTAAAATATTTAACATACAGAGAAACAGAAAATACAAATTCAAATATGTAAGACGTTGCGTATTTTATCTAGTACACACAGAACACTTCTTTTAAAATCAAAACATTTATATTTAATGTTAAAAAAATACAATATTTCCTTCAAATTATAAGCAATTCTCAAATTCTATAAAATATAATAATGATAACTTAATCGGTTATCGGCTATTCAGTTTTTTAATGATAGTATTGTTATCATGAGGTATTTCCTGATACAATGTTTGCCAAAGACATTATATTTTAATTAACATATGACTTCTGAACACTTTTTTCCATGAATACTTTAAAAATATTTTCGCATTCTCATTTTTAGCTTTGCTTAAGTTAGTGCATAACTAAATACCAGCTACTTAATTTGATAAATACAAGTTTACTGTAAGTATACTAATTTTCTATTTATATATAAAATATTTATTTAAGTATCTTGTATTCCATTTTCAGTACTTTATTCAATTAACAATTATTACCCATGGTTTAATATTTAAATTAGTTGGATGTTTTTACTTGACTAAAGAGTCTATAGGTGCTAAATATACATATTCATCGTGTAAGCCTTACATGATAAATAGGTATATTTAGCAATAAATACAATCAGTTTTTGTAGCATTACTTTCATTCAACACGATAAAATCAATTTTGAAAAATTACTGTAATTATAAAACTACGACCAGCTTTTAAATACCTAATCAATATTACTTTCAGCTAATATTGTACCTTCCGGCTCACAATGTCCAATATTTTTACCTCTCCTGGCATCCTTTTTTTTAATTATAATGAAATTTTGTATTTACAATTTATTTTTAGTCATCCTTATTATACTTGTATACAGTCAATTCATTAGTATGTTGGTACATTAATAAATATTACTGCCAGTATTAAAATGTAGCCAATAATAATGATTACAAAGGCGTTTTTTGGGAAATTTTCGAAAAATGGTACAAGATATATTTATTATAAGAAGCCTGACTAAATTTATTCCTCACCCTAATTTTCTATGTTGTTATAGAAAATTACAAGTAAGCGAGTAGAGCTATTTTTATTTGTACGCATTACTCTACCGCACTCCACCTCCCATCCTACCCATTAAGCCTTAGTAACTTAAAAAGTAATTATCCAAATCTGGTTATCGACCAGTCAAAATGTTAGGCAAATTATTCTTAACAAAATGACTATCTTGAATTTTTTTTTTAAAAAAGTAAAACAAGTAAGTGCAATGAAAACCGTGGTGCTTATAGCGCAAATGAGTATAAATTATTTTTATAAAAAAATCTTTAAAATATTCACTAGAACAAAAGTTATATCATTTGTCAAATCATTGTGGGCCACCCTGTATATATAGGGTGATTTTTTTATCATGAGCCACTCAATATCTCATAAGGTTTAATAAGAAATTACAATTTTGTTTTTATACAATGTGATCTAAATTATTCACATTTTTTTTTTGTTTTTACCCCCCTCCCAACTTGGTTTTTTTGTTAGCAACTTTTGAGTTTTAAATGGTAACGTATATATTTTATTAACTTTTTAAATTGAGAATAATGTACCAACAATTTTGACTGCTCGATAACCAGTTTCGGATAACTATTTTAATAGTTATAAGAGGTTTAAAGTTAGGATGGGAGGGGAAGTGCGGTTGGGAAATGCGCGCAGATAAAAACAATACTACACTACACCTTTCCTCCTGCCTAAAATTGAAACTTCAATAACTTCAAAAATAGTTATCCGAAACTGATTATCGACCAGTCAAAATTGTTAGTACATTATTCTCAAATTAAAAAGTTAATAAAATATATACGTACCATATAAGTTTCAAAAGTTGCTATCAAAAAAAACTAAGTTAGAAGGGGGTTAAAAACTGAAAAAATTGTGAAAAATTGAGATCACATTGTATAAAAACAATATGAAAAACAAAATTGTAATTTCTTATTAAACCCTATGAGATATTGAGTGGCTCATGATAAAAAAATCACCCTGTATATATAATTCACAGAAAAATTGAGGTAGCTAAAGCTGCGAAGCGCCCTAGGCTAACTGGGTACGCTAAGACGTCCACTGTGTAGTTTAAAGTTCTACCGCTTATACATTTTTAACCTTACCATTATGGAGTCATTACATTTTAGTGTAGGTATGAAAGAATGGACTTTAAAAGATAAGTACATATTACATTTCCAGGGATAAGATCAATATGAGTGCTTCATATTCTCATGGTGAACCTTCAAGAAACTACGATTCTATATCAAATACGTGGGATGAACACGCTCCACCAAATTTAGAAGATAAAGTAAAATAATTTTACTCTTTGTTGATATCAGGACCTAAAAATAATTTTTGTATTTCTGTTTTAAACCCTGTTTAACATAATGTACTGGCTTTACAAATTATCCTAACGGGTTGATTTATCAAAATTAAAAACCCGTAATTCGTAAATACCTACAGCATTTGTATCGCACCAATGCCTAACAATATAGGCTATAGCAAGGAATTAGGCAAAGATAATGGTCAACGTACTCATTATCATAATTAATGTCAATTTTGTACAGCTATGGTTCATACGAGACAGCTATCCTATCCATTATAAATCAACAAACCATGTAATATCAAAAACTATTTTATCAATTTAAAAACATTTTTTTTTTCTCCAAAATTCCACCTATTTCACATATTATACTATAGCTGTCGTGTACAAAATTATGTACTAGATATAGGATAATTACATATCGATAAGCAAAATGTTATTAATTAGTAGGTATTTAGTATACAATAATATGTTATACTAATATTGTACTGCATCTTTATGCTTAAACCTTAATATTTATATCGTCAAGTAAAATTAGTGAATTATATATTTTCTTCACAGGGTAGTATACTTTCAGTTTATTGGAAAAATGGCATGTTAGGGGCTGCATCATATGATAACAATACAGCAGAAGTAATTAAAATTATTACACATTTTTTTAATATATACATTTATTAATTTTTGTATTTTTACGGCGTTTAGATACAAATTTTACATGACATTATGGAAAGTAGTTTAGATTTTAAAATTTTAAACGCACTCCTCTTGCACATCGAGCCATGGTAAGCATAATATATTAATCATATGACATCATATGTAGGTATAATAAATAATAATCAGTGCCGTATCTAGACTTTTTTCGAGAAGATCCAAAATAAAGAATACAAGCATGACATTTTTTATTTTTAAAAACTACAGGTAATGAACAAATTTCGGAGGGAGGGCCCGACCCAATTCCCCCCCCCCCAAAAAAAAAATAATAAAAAGGCCTTGTTAATAATCGAATTATTTAATGATACTATCTAGACCAGGCGTGTCAAATTTGTGTGAACTTGCAAGTTGCGTGCCAAAATTTAACTGATTTTTTTTTAATTCTCTACAAGCCATAAAATTATGAAAAATATTTCAAGTAAAAATTTAATCATTTAAATAATTTTATTTATACTGTAAACAAATAAAATATTTTATAAAACAAAAAAGTATTACATAAGAATTAAGTACTTAATTAATTGCTTGATGCGATTTTTTCTGTTGTACGCTTCATGCCAGTTAATTTATCATTCTATTAATTTAGTGATAGATATCTATCATGTATATTTTTAAATGTACAACGCAATTATTTTCACAATATGTTATGTGAAATATACGAGACAGCAAAAAAAATTAATATTTTTAAAATTTCAAAAAGTTGTTGGTGTTTTAAAATTAATATAAAACATTGTTTTAATATGAGAATCAATGTTTCAAAAATAAATTTGGGTTAGAAGTCGAACTTAATATATAAATTAATAGAAAAATCATAGGCTAAAAATAATTAAAATATTTGTAGAGGTATTTTGAATTAAAAATATATCTTTATTCATTAGTGTCTATGGCTTCATCTGAATTTTTAAATAAGATAACATGCTTATGATAGCTAAAATATAAGCGCACTTTTGTGCTCACATAAGTATACTTTTGTCAGTATAAAATAAAATAAAATAATATTGGTAAACAACTCGCGTATTTCATTTGAAATATTTTGCTCGATCTCCACCCCTGCATATTATTACAAGTAAAAATATACCGCAAACATTTTTTTTTTTTAATGTACCTGTATAATATTAGCTGCGTCGTTGTTTGTAATGTACAAGAAGAAGTATTTTTGAAGGCGGTTAAACAATTACTACACAATGGTAAAATGAATTTGTATTCCAATGACATTACTAGTGAAGATTCTTTATTGAATAACAAATTGCATGTTTTATCTGATAAGTATTTTAGTAAGTACCTATAACTATTATTATAATTGTAATCTATAAATAGTTGTTTACATTTTTATATTTTAGTACCATAATTATTTTTGGGTATGGGACCAAATTTAAACCATGTATAACAGATATGATTATACTTACAAATTGAACCTAAGTCCTAACATACAATTGAACGATGTTTTTATTAACGAACAACGGATTTGTTTATCATACACGTTTTTTATATTAAATTAAATGGGATGGGGGCTTTATAATATTTTCGGTGTTTCAGCTTTCCCCACAAGCGAAATTGCGCCCCTGGACATTTTGACTATCGAACGACCGTTTATTTTAATAGACCCTTTAGGCTCTAAATAGTTTTAATCAAGTTTCTCCTCTTTTTATGGTCCAGGACATCTTTTATTCCTACTGTTTCATTAATTGCTCTAAATTGCTATTTTACTTTGAATTTAATGAACGCTGCTGTGCCCGCAAGAATTTCTCAGATGCAACATATTTTAAATCAATCTTCTGTGGACCACAACCTTCCCAACCATTTGGTGCGCGTGTGACGTGTCACTTCGGATATGACAAGTTTATCGGCGCGCCTTCCTTTTAAGTATCTACGTTTAGACTAAATTTTTACTTTTTTTTTTTTTAGAATTAAAAAACTGTGAGCAGTTAGTTTTGGGAATGTCACTAGCATCTCTACCTAAATCCATTGTAGCGGGAAATCGATACATACGTGGTTTAGTCGATTTTACTAAAGAACTAACCGTAAGTGCTCTAGGCGCATTATTGTACTTCATTGACGTTCCGTCGGTAAAAATGACCATGCAGATAACCAATAATGTCATAACGTCATTGAGAATACTTCATTTAAACGATTTGGTGTGGATGAGTACGGGTACTTACGAGTCACTGCAAATATTCACGGCTTCCGAACACCCTTCGACGCATAAATGGACACCCATGGTGGCATCGAACAAAGAAGACCGGAGTGTATTGAGCGTTCTAAACAGATGCTGTAACCAAGCTTTAAGCTATAAGCGATTAAAAATGATTTTAGCCCATCCTACCAACAATCTCGACACACTTTTCAACAGACATGAAGTGATTGAATTTTGTTTGACGCCTCAAAACGAAAGCATTATCATGTCAATCACTACTAACATAAAACGTTGTTACTCTATATCGGTAAGAAGCATTTTTTTACAGTTCTAGATTTAATATATTTATTTGTAAGATGATACGAAAAATTACGAAATACCTCATGTTACGAGATAAACTCTTTATTTTAAACCAAAGTGTCAAAAAAAAATTCCGTGGTATGTCAAATGAAGTCAATCCAAGTGTTAGTTTTTATTGTACGTATTGTAAAAATGAATCTGAACCGTTTTATCCAATGACCTGGACGTAGTAGAAATAATTATAATTTTAAAACAAATGAATACTGCAATATTCAAAAATTATTGCTAATAATTAATATTATACAAGGCGATTCTTTTATCATGGGCCACTCAATATCTCACTGGGTTTAATTAATAGTTGCATTTTTAGTCTCGATGCAGTGCAGCGAAGGTATTGATTTTATTCTGATGTGGGCTTTTTTTGTGTCTGTATACACTGTAACTATTTTAATACTGGACCAATTCCTTCGAGTAGCAACTCTATAAATCACAAATTGTATCTATCTATAGTTAGTACTTTGGGAGGTAAAAGTTTAAAAAGTTTATTTCTTCACAGTAAAAATTTGAAAAAACAAAAAAAAACCTACGAGTTTTTAAGATGGAACTTTTACTGGCTATAATTTCGAGAAAAAGTGTCGGTTCGAATTAAAATTTATAAGGAATATTGATTTGGTATTTGAAAAATTGAGATCACATTTTATAAAAACACTATGAAAAAAAAAAATTCAATCATTAATTAAACTTAGTGAGATATCGAGTGACCCATAATAAAATAATCACCCTGTATTATTTTTATCATCTTAGAAATCAATAAAGAAAATAAGTGGTTGCAATGGTTCGGTTTACCAATGGAAACAGCTGTTTCAGGTAAGAAAGCGTAGTTTATAAGAAAAACTTTTTTTTGTTCCAGAGTAAATGTAATCATTGTGTTTTTTCGTTTTGCGTTTCGCAAGGCTTTATTCATTGCAATCAAGGTATATCCGTTTTCGCATAACGTTTGTCTGAGGTTCCGCTTTCTTCTTCTATATGTTCATCATTATCAATACGATCAGATCACGTGGCCAACGTGTTCAACTGCTAAGGGATCCTACTTTTTGTTTAGGACAGTGGTGTGTGACTAAGTCAGACCTCCTCAGTCAACAGCTTATAGTATAATTCAACTTGTTTTGCCGATATTATATAACTCTATGAGAATAATAATTGAAGGCATTTTTAGAATTAAAGAAAATGCAATCGTGTTATGTGATAAATTTAATAGTAGAAAGCAATTTAATCAACCTTAGAAAAAAATACTTTTTTTTATAAAACAAGCACTGGAGATAGATGATAAGTAGAGTTAGTGAGCGATTAAGGGCCAATACATATTTTGTATTTTTACATGCATTAAATAATGCTTTGATATATCGCTTTGAGGGTTTTTTAGTATTGTAAAAAAATTAAATATGTTCGATCCAAAAAAATAGTTTGATGAACGCTTCAGCAATGAAACATTGTTCCGAAGCAATCACAACTCTAGAACAATAATTAGTCCTCTAAAGGTTGCCGCACACTAGGTTAGATCGGATCGGAATCGAATTTTGCCCGCACATCGAATCGGAAAATTCGCTGTCGTACACTGAGCACTGGCTCCATTTTACTCTTGTTATCTGTAGCTGATGGTCGTGTACGTTTAACTATAGTTAAAGCGCATTTTTGATTTATAAATATTATATAATACAAGTAGTGATGAAGACACGGTAATGACACTAGCTCTCTTAGCAGATGTCGAAGAAGAAAAAGACAATTTTAAGGAGAAAAGACAATGGGTTCATAGTATAAATATGGAACCAACATATTCATTTGTTCTGGAACAGATATCGGATAAAAACAAATAAGTTTATTTGTTCCGGAATAAATATCAGATAGGACCTTTTATGAACAATATCAGGGCCCTTGCTTTATAAAATATATTATAGTCATGACCTATACTTTATAAGTTATAACAATATGTTAAGTAATATGTTATGTCATTTTTCATTTTATATCGGTAATTGTAATTATTTTAGTATTTTAACCTTTTCTAACATTACAGACAGTTGTAAGCGCTGTAAAAATTGGAGAAATTTGCGCAAAATACTCAAACCACGTTAATTTGTTTAAAAATGTAAAGAACATTATAGTAATTTTAACGATAAACGAGATTTATTTTGGTTATTATAATATTTGTCGTATAATTTATACAGCTAGAAGAAGCTTTAACAGATAAACTATACATAATGGCTAATTCAATGTCAAATTTAATTAATTTTCAACAGTCCACTAAACAAGGAAGACTCGTGATTAACCTTGGATGGATAGACGATCTTGATGCAAGTATGAAGAACAAACATTTTTACACCGTAGAGCCCGTAGAAGTTTTGGACAAATAAATATGAATTGTATTGATTTAATAAAAATAAATTTCATTTTATTAAATCATTTAAACATATAAATTAAAAATAAAGAAACTTTATTCTTTTTACTGATTAGTTGTGTAAATGCACTTATGAATTACTTAATGTTAATACATGTGTTTATTGAATATTGAGTAACAGGTATTTTGTTGTGCTTGCTTTAGAAAAGTCGCACATGCAGAACATTTTGTTAGTTTTGGATGAAGTTAATTTACAAGAGCTAGAAGATTTACCTCCATATATTGAACAATGTTCTATGATTAAAATACCAGAAATTGGATTCCTTTTAGCAATACCATTTTGGAAACCAATCAATGAAATGACGGAAGAAGATTTTACTCAGATTCCTGGCATAGATTATCAGGTATATACATGTATACTACAATCAATATTATTTTGTACAGTGTACAGTATAACTCAAAATACTTAAAAAATATTAAACAATTTTATTATTTTTATAATTTCAATAGTTTTTGGATGCACAGCACATAGCATATTATAAAACTCCACGTTGCTTAGGTATGTATCAGTTGTTTGTTTATCAAATTATAATAATTATTGGGGAAAATAGCACATTAAAAAATATAAAACAAGTATCTAAACTCTAAAGAAGTAAACCTTCTGGCTCATTTGCTTACAATGTAAACTATAATACATTGTTGTCACTTCCCGGAGTTGATTTTAGTTTCCCTAAATTATAAAAATTTCGTACATTTAATTATTTACTATTATGGTACATGAAATTAATATCAAATTATTATTTTGACTTATGAGGTATTTGAACAGAATCACTTCTACGGGAGGTTAACGAGATTATATTTTATAGTATTGTGTCCTATTCTTTTAAAAGTCTCCCAATCAACTAAATAAAATCAGATCACACAATTTAACAAATGATTGTCAATTAATAAGATATAATTTTACCGATGTAAAAAATGTAAAGATGTATTTATTTAAAAAAAACATTTTAGAATTAGACGAAGCGTTTAATACAATTGAATCGAGTATTATTCAAGATGAGGTTGATATCATGATAAAACTAGTTGAATTTATAATGCAAAGTTGGATGAGTGATCTGATGGATATATTAATATTAATTTCCGAATTAGATTGGTAAATATATTTAAAATAATTCCGTAGTTAGACCATAATTATTTTACTGTTCGTACTTATTATTTATTGTTATTCACTTTGCTGCACTGGTCGAATACTGTCCTTGAATTCATTTCGACTTTCTACTCATATATTTTTTCATTGTCCTACTGTTAAAACAACGCAATTAAATTATCTAACCCTAAACCCAATTGTTCGTGTTATTACACCGTTTAGATGTTCTGATATTTTTGAACTTTTAATATCGATATGTATTATGACTGGAGCCTGGAGATTATTCAAAATTTGCGTGGAAATTTTCGAGTCATCGTCACAAAGTATGTTACGTATGATTGGTAGCCTAGTAACGTTACGGAGTAACTGGATACGGAAATCTGAAAATTAAGGGAAGAGGTGGGGGAAGAAGGAATAGGAAAGGAGAAGAGAAAGGAAGGGAAGGGGCATTTATTAAATCTAAAAACAAATCCATGCTCCACAAATATCCGTGATTCAATGTTTTTCTATGCAGTGAAATAAAATGTGTGATTTTGTTTAATCCTACCCTATTCATATCCTATAATTAGTTCGTTTTCTATTTGCTGATTTAAAGTACTTATACTTCGTCCCAAAAGATAAGACACCGATTCTGCGCATACTGACTAACGGGTGACGGGCCGTCACTGACGGCTGCGAAAGCGCGAAACCCCATTTGCCCCTATTGGCCGTACACCGAACAATTATTAAAGCTCAATTAAAATTCGCGGTCTCGGTTCGGTCCGATCACGGCTAGGTCACTTTCGGTAGTGTGTAATCAAATGGAACGGTTCACACTGATGGGCGCAGCCAAATCATGGGACCTGTCAGGTCAGATCTCGATCGGTCGCGCACGATCCAGGCCGTGGTTTTACGAGCTTTTTGAGTCATCAATTTTTCACAATGATTGTGATACGTCATAAGTCATAACCCTTGACCGTGACCGAACCGAGACCGCGAATGTGAATTGAGCTTTAAGTGGAGACTGCCAGACGAAAACTGGTCGCCTCCCGGTGTCGTATCTTTGGAAATTTGTAACATAGTATATATTATATGGGTCAAAATGCCAAATACGAACGAACGTTTGGAGCGACCCCCTCGGATTTTTTTGAAAATTACACTGCAAGTCAGTTACAATGAAAAAAAATTTCTCAATTTTTTTTCGTTTAGCCGGTAGTAAAAGTATTTTTTGTTTATTTTCTAAACACTTCTTTTTAATCAATTTTTTATAGTATCTTCGGCCTTAAAAAAATTGATTTAAATCAGTTTCTTATGCGAAATAATCTTAGCTTTTTGGAAATAAAAATATTGTTTTATTTTTTCGAGTAACAGAAAGTCATTAAAATTGAGTTTATAATCTAAAAAAGTTGGGTTTTTCGTGTTGCCCAAAATTTTTCTAATTTTTTTTCAGAAAGCTAAAATAATTTTACATAAAATGGGTAACTTTCAAATTGGGTTCTCCGTAAATACGCTCAGAAAAACAAAAAAAAGCGGCAAAATTGTAAAAAAAAAGTCGAAAAACATAAAGTTATCTTATTTTTACACATAATTATTTCAACTATTTTGATTACTGTGGTCATTTTTTTTATGAAATTTCACCTCTCTTTTTGTTTTTCTGAGCGTATTTATGGAGAGGGAGTTAGTTCCAAATGTTCGTTTGTATCTGGCGTTTTAATCCATATATACCTATAACTTTTAACTCGTGTACCTAAGTAAACTATACCAAACAAACTAAATAACAAATATTATGTACATATTATAGTTTAATAGGATTTGCAGCAGCTGCTCGTGCTTTAAAATTAACAAAACCTAATATACTTCCCAAGGACCGATGTTGTATTGACATACTCAATGGAAGGCATATTTTACAACAAACGTTTGTAGATCATATTGTGCCGAATAGCTACAATTCGTCTGAAACAAACTGCTTCATACAAATTATTAACGGGTTTAACGCTAGCGGTAAAAGCGTTTATTTAAAACAGGTTAGTTGTGCGCAATCAGATTTAACTATATTATAACACATATATATTTACTAAACACATCCCAATTTTCCATAACCCATACGGAAAATAGTTATAATAACTCGAAGTTCAAGAACAATTGTTTTTATTTACATATTATAGTTTTAAATTAAAAACGAGTTTAAAGATATCAAAACTAATTCCACTTACCAAGAGCTAAAAAATACGATTATTTATCAATAATTAGTTAAATAATTGAAGCTTATTCGAAAGCTTTTATTATTTAACTAATCGACTTATGTAAAAAAAAAAGCAAGTACGTTTAACAAATTGTGTTTAATATTAATGGCTCACTTATAATATGACAACTAGTGGACTTTTTGGTTAATTTTAAAAATATCCTAAAATAAGACCTCTAATTTTTAAAAAAATGTCCAACAATGTTTAATGTTACCGCTATATTAAATATTTTGAAACTGAGTGGAAAATAAAGGTGGATATTTTTAATTTTTATAACTTGTTTTATAGAATTAGACACTCAAAACATATATTTTCAATTTAAAAACAAGACGAGTACAATTATTAGTATTTGCTATAAAATGTTTTTTTTTTTTTAAAAACAGTATCTTGCTACCACCCAATGGAGAATCGTTATTATAGTTTTACTCCTAAAACAAAAAATCAAATCAAATTTTACCAAGACAAAATTACTTTTTCTTTTTTTAAACAACAAGGAACCATTACTATCAATTACTATGACATTTTTTTTTTTAATAAAACAAATATTTAAAATATACTATTGTACTCGTCTCATTTTTTAACAACTATAGTCTAAGATCAATGATATTTGAAAACATTTGAGTGTCCAATTCTAAAAAAATTATGTGTTATATACTTTTTTTTAATCCTTCTCTCGACATTCGGAAAAACTCGATGATTTAGACTTCAGTTTTTTACAAGAGAATGAAGTAAAAGATGGAATTATCTATTTATTTTTTTTTTTTTTTTATTAAAAATATATTTTCTTTATTTACAATCTATACAAAATATGTATAATCAGCAAGTCTGATGACAACGATACAATGACATAATGTGTGAATAGGAAGGCTCTCAGCAGTGCCACCTGACCAGAAAAAAATTATCTATTTACGTTCTATTATTCGAACAATTTTTTTATAATTATCATCACGAAATAAATGTAAATGGAAGTTCGTAGAATTTTCTTTTTTCCGCTTACTATTTAGACACAAAAACAATAACATTGTTTCGCTAATTTCTGCTTCAAAATAAAATAATTTGATGACAATTTTTTAGCACGGAACATGCTTTAGTTTTGGCCTCCTAGCTCGAAAACGACACAAAAAAACGCCAAATAGTTTATCCCACATATTCAGTGGACCACGCCTGGTCCCTCTGTCCTTTCTAGAATATCGGCCTTATCTTGCACTTGACCTCGCTCTCCCTCATTCTAAGCTCTGGGTTTTTCCTAGCTATCATAGTCGGAATATCATTGGGCAGCATGGCCGCGTCTACTCCTTTAATAATGGCGGCGTGGCTACCTGTTAAGATTGATTTGAATGGACTGGATCATTTTGATGTAGTCGGTCACTGTGCTTTCTTGCCTCAGCACCTCCACTCATATTATGCTGCACGACTGAAATGGCCGTAACGGTTCCCATTACGACTCTGCTGAGGCACTCATATTATACATTGTGTAACATATAACATATAAGATGCCATCGAAATAATAACGAGTCGTCGTTGTCATGCAAACGTTTTGGCCAGAACATATAATTAAGACTATACCATTGTCATAAATCGCAAGGAAATTATAGATCAGAAATAGTCACTATTCAGGCGCCAGCAGGCTAAAGCATGTTCCATGTTTTATAATTTTAGCCGTTAGGCTTTAAGTAGACTGTAACTTTATTATTTTTTTATTTATTTGATAATTTATTGTAAATATTAAATTAAGTGAGTAATAAACAGTTATTATTATCACTTTTATATTTTCTCAGAGGCTTGAAAATAATATATGGGGTCTAAGCCCCTATTTGCGCTACTGCTTTAAGTACATTATGTAGATACCGTGCAAAGGGCACTCGGCGCTCCAGTGAACAACAACGAAAGTTTTTCTTCATAATATAAAAAAACATTCAAAAATGTAAAATTTATTTTTTTATCATTTTAAAATTGTTAGTAATATAATTTTTTGAACTAATCAAGATGTTTAATAAACAAAAAATAGATAAACTCATTACTTTACAACTGTAGCGGTTTTCAGAAGAAATTCCCATATTACATCACAAAATGTTATAATAAGAGAACTTATAGAGTTGTCCACTAAAGGTCAAGCTGTTTAGTTTTCATCGTTTGCTCGATATCTATAGTGTGGTACACCAACCGGCAACCAATAACATTTAAAATTGTACACAGGTCGCACTAATAGCATATTTAAGTCACATTGGCAGTTATGTACCAGCTAAAATGGTTAAAATAAGTGCATTAGATCATATTCATACTAGAATTCAATCAAATGAATCTATAAGTACTTTGATGTCCGCTTTTATGATTGATCTTAGACAGGTTGGTATTGTCTTTAATTTTGTTTTCGAAATAAGATACATTAAATTATTTAATGAATGAATGAACACAGATGTCAGTAGCACTCAATGAATCAACGTGCAGATCACTTATTGTATTAGATGAATTTGGTAAAGGAACATCTGACACAAATGGGCAAGCATTATTATTAGCGAGTATTGTTTATTTTGCACGGAGACAATCTGATATGTTACCTCACGTTATAATTTCTACACATTTTCATTCCCTACCATCTTTGCTGCAACTATTACTGCGGGAAACTAATTTTCATAATAGAATTAAAGTAAGTTGCACACATTAATTTCTACCAGAAAAAAATATGTAGATAAAACAGCTGTGCACTGTTCTTTTACTTTTAATTTAGTACTTCACCATGAGCCATAAAATAGAAAACAACCAAATTGAATATTTATACAAGGTAGTAGAAAGAAGAGATGGTGAATATGAAAACACAAGTATGGCCCATTATGTAGCTGCTTCAAATGGATTACCTATTAGTATTGTTCAACGTGCCACTCAAGTAGGAATCCAAAACCCTAATTATAATATATTCTATCAAACATTATTATACATTTAATATTAAACATATTGTATTAGGTACTCGAAAATATTAATAGTAACATCTGTATAACACATATGAAAGAAAATCTAAGATGCAAATTATTTTTCAGGTAAACACTAAACAAATTTTGGTGTTTTATTTTGTTAATAAAATAAAAAGCAGTAAGACTGATTCCACTAACTATTAATCTTAATATTCTGATGTAAAATTATTCATTTTTTTAGAAGGAAAGAATTTGTTGAACAGTTACTGTCGACCGATGGTAACATAAATGATACCTATGATAAATTATTAAAAGATTTAGAAGATATAAGATACCCATAAAAAACAAAATACACAATTGAGTTAAATTTTTAAAAAATGTATAACATTATATTATAAAAATTAAAAACAAAAGGTAATATTAACACTTTAGATTATGTGCTATCTTTAAAATAAAACACTAGCTAATCTTATAATAAATTATAAACATAAAAATTACATTTAAAGCTTTGGGCGGCACATTTTAAGTGTAAATTTTTTGTGTAATAAAATACTTTTAGTCTTTTACTTTTTTATATGTGTATTTTTATTAGTATTAAGTATTAACATTTAAAATATATCTTAAAACTATATTTATTTGTTGTTTATATATAAAAGGCTTTCACTTATTTAATTTTATAAGTGTGTAATATTAAGGAAATCATTAATAACATGATAGTTATGATGTTAAACTTAAATTTATTGATCACTCAAATATTAAAAAAGATACTTATTTTTATATTTAATAATAGTATAATATGTTATACATTAACATAAATGTATAAACAAATGGCTAATATAAATGTTGTATTGTTGTAATGTTGCTCTTTTTAAACAAAAAATAATGTAACAAGAAGAAAACATTGAATTGAAGCTAAACAAAATTTAATATTGCCTGGGTTTACTAAAAAACTATAACTGGTCTTAAAATTAAGTCATTATTATATTTGTCTTTCGCGTACATCTATTCTTAACAATAAAACACATTTTTAGTAATATAGGATAAGTAACAAAATTAATCAATAACCTTTGGTTGTGTGTAATAATATAAAAAAAATAATGCAAACAACTTACAATACATTTTAAGGTATTTTGTATTATGTAGATGTAACTCCTCTTCTGGCAACTAATAAATTTAATATTTTATGCTTCTTGATATAGTCCACAGCTTTTTTATGGGTGACCATGGTAAAATCATATCCATTACACTTGAGAAAAATTATACAATTAAATTAGCTTATAAATTAACATAATAATAATAATTAACTGAAACATTTATGAATTAAGAACTATAAAGATCTAACAAGTACCTGTAATATTTTGTCGTGTATTCGTAAACCAGATCTAGAAGCAGGACTCCCATCATGAACTTCAGTTACATAAATGCCCTTTAATACAAAATTTAATAATTATACTATCATTAAATAATTTGTAAATGCGATGTTTAATTCATTAATACTTTGAAATATTTAAATTACTTACGTTATCAGTATACCCTTGAGGGCTTTTTCTAAAATCTTGGTCAATTCCTCCGCCGATTTTAAACCCACATTTTAATAATTCTCGGCCATCATTATCAATAGCTGATTCTTTAGTTAATGTAATGGGTATCTAAAATGAAAATGTATTTAAATAAGAGGGTCAATAGTATGTTACTATTTACATGGATTAAAATATTATTTTTGAACAGTCAACGCATATCAAATTTGATTCTTAATTGAACACCAAGTTGGATTTTTATAACTGTTTTAGCACTATTTTCTAAATATAAAACAGCTCTGCCGTAATGATGTATAATGTGGGGTTTACACGAGTTGATTTCAGCTGATTGACTAGGCTGTTTGATCATGTAAATAGCAGATTAGTTGCACGGCGGAAATCCTCTTGTGTAAACCTCGCTTAAGTGTTACCTATTTATAATTAGTTGGTAATAAAATAATACTACTTCTGTTCCAAAAAAAAAAACTGAAAATGAGATATATACATCAGTATTCAATAGAAAAATGTACAGAATATATTATGCATGTCCAAAGGATGGCAGAATTTTATTGGGTACTTCAATCTTGATGAATACACAAGAAGTGGATACAATACACTTTCAAAAGAAAATGAATATTTCATATATTAATATTATATATGATGATATTTATTAGCAAAAAGACTGGTTGTGAGAACCTAGAAAACCTGATCTGACCAACACTAGTACAAACTATAAAGGTGTGGTAAATATATTGATTAGGTATTGACTTATTACACACTTCCGAAACATTTTTTTATGGTTTTTTATAAAGCTAATATAATATATCATTAGTCGTTAAAATACTCACACTAAGGCACTCCATGGCAGTGCCAGGTTGATGAGTGAATGCCATTTTAGCACACATTGCATACTATTTTTATTAAACTTTTTTCTGAAGATAAATTTAAAGAGATATTATCCCTAGTATTAATAAGAAATACTTTAAAAAAACAAGTAGATAATTATTCTTAATTATTAAATAGGTATTTTACAACAAAACTTCACACCATTTTACTAAAGACCGTATACTAATCACATTGCACACAGCCCAATGCCAATGTGATCTGAATTCTGATTTCTGATAAATTGACGATGACGTCATAATAGCTTATCATTTTTTATCAGTCATGGCCATTCTTGATTCTTCTATTGACTCATGAACGATGAACCGTGTTTTACGGTTACTGTTAGAAAATTCCACAGCGTAACCTCCCATAGCTCAAAAAGACATGCCCAATAGGTGAACAAATGTAGACCATTAAGTTATGATATTAGATTTTAGCGAATTGTGATACGTAGATCATTGACAGAAGAAATAGGACATAAATTGTATCTAATTAACTAAAAGGCGTATTTCAAAACTAGTAACAAGCCAACTACTTATGAACTTTTGTTTTTATATATATTAACTAAAAACTAATAAAAACATAATATTATAATAGGCATCCCAATAAAAATTTACCGGCCAATTTTTCCGTCAAAAACTACCCATTTAACTTCAATCGGTCCGATCATTGTATTGAAGTGATAAGACTTCTGAAAACAGATTTGAATTCGGCATGAAGTCTACTTGAGATCGGTCAGAGTATTTTTTTCAATTTTTAATTTTAACCCTTTCCAAATTTGATTTTAAAATTTAGAATTTTATATATTGTTCAAACGTGTTTTATACATAGTAGGAATAAGCTATCAAAAAAGTACTCCGACCGATCTCAAGTAGACTTCATGACGAATTCAAATCAGTTTTCAGAAGTCTTATCGCTTCAATACAATGATCGGACCGATTGAAGTTAATTGGGTAGTTTTGATTGAAAAATGAACTAAAATGGCTTTTACTCATAGGCAAAATTATTTAAATTAAAAATAATACCATGAAGCTTTTACAAATTACCCGGTAAATTAATTGAAATGGTCGAAATTTATTAAAATCACTTTTTTCTTAAATATTGCCTATACAAAACACCTTAAAAATTTGTCGGTACCAATAGCCTTAAAAGATCTAAAATAGTCAATTTACATTTTACATGGAGTATAAATTTAGAAATTGTTAATTGGTGCAGTTTAGCTGTCTACAGCGTGGTTTTGTGATAAGATTGTCTGATACACACCTTAGTAGATAGATGCTTGAATAATGCGAACAGCGAAGTGGTATAAACGTTACAACTATAAATTAGGTTTACATACAATTCAGTTTAGTTAACATGTTATTTTAAATAGATTTTCAATAAACAAAGAGCTAAACGATTTATAGTTAAAACTTAAAAGTTATAAAAGTTCAGTATGTTGTACAAAAAAAACATGTCGTGTCTGTAGTGATCATTTCACCTAAAATTATTTTAAAATCAATGTTAGAAGTAGAAATAATATTTTATTAATAAAGACAGCCGTTCCTACAATTTTAATTAAAAAAAAAAAAAAAAACCCGAAATTATTAATGTACAGCATGATAACAGAAATGGCTTCAATTGAAAATATTACAACATCCTTGTATGCTGTAAATACTGATGTACAGCTAGATGATTCAGAGATGTTATTGGAAGAAAATCCTACAGATGTACAGCTTGGCGACTCTTATATAGTGGAAAAGCTTATAGTAACACCTAAACAATTTAAAAGACAACTAATGTGTCTTAGATGATCCTGATAATAATATTAGCCCATCTTGGTCATCACTCATCATACACACCCTAAAAAGAGGAAGACCTATAACTCAAGTCTGGCTACACCTCGCAAAATAATAATGAAGAGCAAACTTAAAATCCTTCGACAAAAAGTTAAAAGACTGAAAACTAAAGTAAAAACTCTTAAAGATTTATTGGGAAAACTTAAAAATAAAAGGATTGATCTGAAATGACCCATGTGATTTACATTTAACTTAAAATTTTAAAAAATGAACTGGTTAATCAAAAAAGAAAACCTACTTAAATATACTTAAATATTACTTAACTAATAGTGAAATTAACACTATTTTGTGGGTCTACCAATCAAAGTCTCATTACATTACAAATTTGCAAAAATATTTTTATCTAAAGAAAACTTTTTGTTACAAAAATAATCTTTAAGTCTAAATTTTGAATATGTCTAATGTTTAAAAATTTTATACTTATACATAATTGTAATATTCCTGTTTTAATTGCCAATGTTTCTATTTTTTTTGTAAGTTGTTTCAATTTCAATTATTAATTGTTAAATAAATTGTATGTTTTCATTGGAATTTATATTTTATATTATTCAAAAGTCAAAACTTTGTTACCTATATAATATGCAAGAGCGAAACTTTTATGAGTTTTGTGAATTAAAAACCTATTTTTTTATTATAGTAAGCAATTTTACTGAAATTAAAAATTCTTAAAGTTAATTTTATGATAATTTTTTTATACATTCATCATAATGTAAAAATGAGCTCTGATAAGAAAAATCGGCCATTTATCCGGCTTCAACATTAATTCTTAGTCGGCTACCGGGCCATCTGCAATATAATATGTACATCTGTGGCTACTACTACTACTACTAATCACTTACGTATGATACTTTCTTACTGCGCTTGGTTTGGAATTTACTGGTTTGAACCTACTATCCACCGATTCGCATCGAAGCGTTTATTATAAGTGATTTTATTACTATCAGTTATAATAATTCCTGTAGACCTGTGACCTCCCCGTCCCCACTATACCAAGACGCCACTGTATTGGCTTTATTTTTAAATTAAAAAAAAACTAATTGTGAAAGTTTATACAGTCGGTATAGTCCTTATTATTCTTTAGTAATTATAATAATATTTATTTGATTTTATAAGTACCTATAATTTATTATTATCATTACTATGATCTTTTATCTATTGTTAATGTTATAATTTGTACGTATGCATCATATATAATTTATACCCCTTTAAAAATCTTATTTAAGCCACTGTATTGCTAATTTCTATACTTTCTCATTCAATTTCTGCTCACTTTATAAAAAAAAAGGACTTATCAGTTACCTATGGCCTAACACTTATAACTCTTATGCTATCGACATTTAGATTTAATATTAAAAAAAACAGAGAATAAGTGTAGCGAAAGTGAGAAAGCTTAGATGGATGATTGGCGTGACGAGGGAAGGTAAGATAAGGAACAAATACCCAAAAACGTCATAAGGTAGCATAGACGTGGTTGCGAAAGCAGCCAAAATGAGAGAAAATAGATGGTTTGGTCATGTTATGAGGAGAGGGAATCGTAAGTAGTAAGAATGGTAATGAAAATAAAAGTAGTAGTAAAGAAAGGAACATGAAGACCGAAAAAAGAGATTAGATGTGATTGGCAATGATATGAGGACTGCTAGTGTATGCGAAGATGATGTGGGAGATTGAGTCGAGTGGAGGTTTAGGATAAGGACGACCTGACTAAAATCGACCAATAATACCGAAAAACACAAATTGGTTGCTAGACATTTGATTATACCAAAGAAACCAAAGAGAATATGGACATGCATATGAATGGATAGGATACAGAACAATAGCTTTTCACTCTTGTAACGCCAAAATGTAGAGACATACGGCCAGCTACAAGGACGCTACCCAGGCCATTCCTAAGGAGTAAAGTATAGGCAATTTTTCGAAAAACCTTAATTTTGTGTTTGAACTGCAATAGTTTCTTATTAATACAGCATTGAGGAGACTTTATTGAACACCATTTTTTTTGTCAGACTATAACAGTCATTTCAATAGGATAAATTACAATTTTTTACCCATCAAAACTGTTTTGCGCGGGACAAATATGCGAGACCAGTATTAACATTATTTTTTTTTTATTATTAAATTGCTTTTGTGATTACACATTATAGCACACTATATGATCCAAAATAATAAAATACATTTTTAATATTTACATATATTTAAATAAAGATACCAGCGCTTAATATAAAGAAAATAATGAAAGAAACAACGATAGGGGAACGAGAATTGAGAAGAAGTTAGATATGTATTAACAGTAGATTTACCAAATTTTCACAATGTATAGATCAGAACTTTATCTACGGGGTAGTGTAGATAAAATTCTATAGCGTATTATTTTTTTATAAACAAATGAAAAAAGAATAAATGGATCTTCAAGAATGAATAATTTTGATTGTGCTAAGATATTAAAAAACGCTACCTCGTAGATAAAGTTCTTCTCTAATCATAAATGTGTATACGGTTAATGTAAAAACCTCCCTCGCATTCTTGTGTTCCGCAAAATCATTTTTCGTGGATAAATTACGGGTGGGTAGCGTCCTCTTAATAAAAAAGTTGAAAGAAAATAATCCTGACGACTACAAAAACGATTGATTTGATTTACCTACAGACGTGCTCGAATTGGAAAAAATAAAAGTAGGAGGACGTTTTAACTAAAAAAAAATAGCGTATCCAGAATTTATTTTACTCATAAAAAAAACACCACTTATAAAAATTAGTAGGGGTACGCTAAAAAATCTGAAATAATAGTTGGGATACTCAGTTCCCTCCCTAATTTGAGCACCACAGTCCACACACTGGCGCCTGGCGGGTTTGCTGCGGTCCGGCCCATAGACTTCATAATATAATATTATATAATGAACCGCGCATTTCGGCGTCAGGCAATGTAGGTAAATTTATAATAATGTATCATTAGAGACGGAGCTAATTTTTGGCAGAATGCCAAGATTAAAACACATGCCTAACTTCGCTGTGTCTGTCTCGCACATTTTACATTATTTACATAATTTTGTTTCAATACGCGGACCATTAAATAAAATATCTATCTTCTGGCCCCGGCATAACCCGTCCAAAATGACGGTACCTACTTAGCCAATGGCTCGTTTGGTGGCCCGGCGAACTTGGATTATTTTCACCACACACTTAACTTTTGGATCGCGTTCTGGTTCAACAATCCACTCGCTGTCCAAACCTGTTTGTGTATAGCCATTTTTAGCGAATTGACCGTTCTCTTATAACATAGGTTGGCCAGACCAAACTAAATTTTAACTTCCAAAAAACAAGTCTATATACATTATACTCATTAGTCATTACTAATTTAAACAAAACCATTTTACATTTATAGTCGATGATAATAATTACAAATATTAATCTCCGAGTTAAAAAAAAATATTTGAAAATAATAAATTAAATAATATTTTTACTTGATTTGTACTCGAAAATAAAAATGGCCATAGATAATATAATATATTATTAGGTATATGATAATAAAGTAACCAGCTGGAAAGTCGGAACTCTAGAGAGTGGCGATCATTTTTCGCTGTCGGTACCGTCCTTATTTACAAGACTTAAAATATACTTTATAAATTGTACATTATTTCTGAGTTGGGGCTTGGGCAAATACAAAATCGTGATAATTATTATTTATAATAATTTTGTTTGTAGGCTGTTGAGTCTGTAGACGACACCTTTATTTGTAGTCATCAATCTCTATAAGGTGTTACTCCATTGAATTAGTTTAGTTATAGGCTATAGCATAGACCACACATATATAATACTTAATAGTCCATAGACCTATTATCAATTGATTATTATTATTGTGTTATTAATAAATTGGTAATAGGTCTATGAGTTATAGTATGTGAGAATACCTATTTAAAAATTTAAATATTTTCTTATCATGTATATGGCCGCACTGAAACTGTTGGCAAACCAGTAGTGATTAGTGGATTATTTATTGATAATAGCCAAAAGAGGTGCTCAGTCAGGAAGACTGGAGTAGTGTTATGAATGTTCTCTATAGGAATTATTCGTATATTATTATATTGAATATTGATAAAACAGTTCAAATTGCAATCTTAATAATTACTTTTTACCTATTTATGATTTCGTAATTAACAAGTGATATTTTTTTCTACAATGTGACCCATGACAATTTGGACGTATTTTATTGTAAGTTGTATGTGTAACATTATTTTATGGAATTCATATTTGACAATGAGATCAATATTTTAGCTTGCAGTGATTTTTTTCATAAGTTTAATGTAAAATATTTTTGAATTATTTACATTAGCTGAAATGCGTAAGCATTGTAATACTTTCTACTCTCTTGTAGGGTTTAATCATTTTTTATTGGACGTTGATGTTGCCGTGTTTATTTGTTCAAATAATGATTAGGCGTGTTACTACCTATTGGAGTTTGAATAAAAAATAGTGAAACATCATAAACATAGTAAACGTAAGTACTTAACTAGATTTATTATGTTTTTTTTTATTGCTATGGAGTTTTGTTTGATAGTATCTAAATGTTAATTCAACAACTTAAATGTTTTAAAAATTGTCTTTATTTAAATCATTTTTTTGTTTAATAACTGCATTATATTATATTTGTTAGAACAACGCTAAACAATTATCCTATGAATCCGTGTACTTAATTTTTGCAGTATGTTTATTTTTTAAATCGCAAAATGTTTAATTGTTAAAATTTGTACAAAAACTGTAACTATATAGTTGTTAACATAGTTTTCATAGAAATGACTAATTATTATATTTATTGTATACATTATTAGGTATTATATATAAGACTCAACATGTCGCTGAACATAAAGACTGAACTCTTTAATGAGTCTTCGAGCGTTCCAGTGGTGAACTTATCTGATTCCTCTGATGATGAGATTCCGGCCACAAAGACAGAGAATATAAATATAAATGAGAAAGTTGAACGGCCAAGAACTCCAGAAACTCATTGTTCCATTTGCCTTGAAGAGTTAACCAATAGATGCTATTCAGATTCATGCTGGCATATGTTTTGTTTTGAATGTTTAAAACGATGGTCATCTGTAAGTTAAAAACTTGTTTGGATAAATACATGTGTATATTTTACTACATCTTTTCTTTAAGATTGAGTCCTCTTGTCCACTGTGTAAAAAAAGTTTTAAGATAATAAATCATACATTTAATGATGAAGGTCTTCATGAAACTTATGAAGTTCCTGTTCAACCCGACAGCCTATACAACCCGTAAGTAACGTATTGATTTGGATTTACTTTTTATTGAATTTATGTAAGTAATGAATTTTTTTTTCGTAGGCAAAGAATATTTTTACGTCCATTTCCTGAAGTGAATAGGTATGACTTGGTTAAAAACAAAATTAATTTTCTAGAGTAATGGAATATCATTAAAAATACTAACTAAGTCGTCTTTTGTTACATTAAGTAAAATTAGTATAATAATAATGTCAGTTTATTATAACTGATATTATTATTATGTTTTAAATTTTTCAGATATTTTATGCTATGTAATTACACCTAATTAAAACAAAGAATTTTATTTTAGATTTTTCAGAATGGATTTTTTCCTCAATTTTGTTAGAAGAAATGAAAGATATATAAGTGTGAGTGACAATTCTGATTATATGGTGCAAATCCCAATTCCTCAAGAACCTCTTTATGGTCCAGAAGGCCGTCGTATTCCTCATCAATCAATTGGTAAAATTATGTTATTATTAATTCATAAACACAAGTTCTGGGAGTTAAGTTATATAAATATACTCGTATAATGTAATTGTAAATGTTTGCTAAACATTTTAATTTACTATGTAAACTTGTATAATTGTCTAGCTCATCTTGCAAGAGTAAGAGTATATAGTGAAAATTTATGGGCTGAACCATTACCCGACTTAAGTGGCCGATTTAGAGATTGCAGTTCTGCTTTTTATAGGTAAATATTTCTTTTAAACTAATTAAGTGATTACAATTTTTTTAAGTATAAATGTGAACTATGACTTCTTTAAGAAGTGTATACAAGTTCTTTAATTGTTAAAAGTTTTTTTTTTTTTATGACCAACTGAAAAGCAATGACTGGAAAAAACAAATTCAATTTCTTTTTTGAGGAACTTTTTACTTCTCATGTAGTATATCTTTATAAATATTTTCCAAAATTGAGTTACTGTTATTTTTCGAAACTTGATTGATTTTTGAACAATTTGAGATTTGATACATCTTTGTAGCTGAAAATTTGACTAAGTTGCCTTAATTGCTCTTTGAAGTTTGTGAATGTTTTGGCGTTTTTCTCAAAATCAACTTTGCTTACAAGAGGTCCCTTAAATGTGCTAAAACTTTCATGGATTGAAATATCATGTGGATTATTTTCAGATGTTATCATAACATATAATTTATCCTTTCTTTTTTTTTATTAAAATAATTGTTGTATACTTTTTTTTTTACAGAAATAATCCTGCACAAATGCATAGATTGGCATCCTTTATATTAAGAGATATATCGGCTATCAGAGAAGTTGAGAGATCTGATAATCCGAGGTCTGATTCAACTAGCAATGACTTTTTAACTAATACAATAATGCAAACAATTTTAAACTATGAAATTCGTGATACATATATGACTGCCATGTTGAGACCATACCTTGGAGAACATTCTACTCATTTTTGCCACGAGTTACATAATTATGCTTCTAGTCCATATGATATGATTGGTTATGACCGTAATGTAAACTATAATAATCGACCACTTTTTACTTCACAACCACAAGCTGGTGTAAATGTAAGATTAACATATTACAAATCTTAGAACTTAATATTATAAAAAGGAATATTTTTAGGTCACTACCAACAATCCACTACCAATTATTTCTAATTTGCCTCCATGGATTCGACTACCTCAATTGAGTGATACAATTGTTGTGGATTCTGATAGCGACAGTGATTCAATTAGAATGCATACACAAGAGGTTATAGTAGTCAGTAGTACTTCGGATGATTCTGAAGTTGAAATGCTTAACCACCCTTTTAGACCAGTTGATACGTATGATTTGTCGACTAGGGATCAACCGTCTACATCTACTGGTATACGTGATTCTTTAGACCGACCGACTACCAGGTATTATTACATAACTTAAGTACATTTTTAATAGAGCATAAATCTGAGAAGGTATTGGTTGGGCAATGATAAAATATACATCTAAATTCCTATGTTGCGTGTGAGATAGACAGAGACGGGCATAATCGGTGTTCAATCCCCTTAACAAAAAATCAGAATTATGTTGAATTTTATGTCAAACTAAAAAATAAGCAAATGCTTAAAGCACCTAAGCCCAAGCTCTGCTTATCAGCCTTGGTTTTAGGGTTTTGAACTTGCTCGTTATCTTATTGTTTTATTCACTTGTCAATATCTAGATCATAATCTTCTTCAAGCTTATTCCTATCACCTATATTTATATTCTTCAGTGTTATGTTATCATTTAAGGCTGCGCAAACTGTGCCCCTTTTTTTACTAACATGTGTGTGCGTGGAAGGGGGGGGGGAACTAATAACAATTTCAGATATTTTCAGAAAATGTCAACATTTTGTATATCTCTAAAAGTCTAAATTTACGGCAACCACTTAACCCAGAAGTAATTTTCATCTCTGATTAACCACTAAAATAATTTTTTTATGTAGATCTATACTTTTTCACCCAAGAAACTTTATTTTGCCAGATGTTAAAAAAGTTCACTTCTTCAAAATTTAAGGGGCCTTTACACTACCATATAAGACACATTGTATAAATAATTTTTAATAAAACAACATTAAACTAAAATTTCTAAACTTATATATTAACACAGCAAAGAGGTATCTATTTTGATATTTCATATTATTTTGCAACTTGTTTAATGCATACCCTATGTCTGTACTGAAAAAAAATCTACTTACATACATCCCTATTCTTCCTTCCCCAAACCTCTCTAATTATAGAAAGAGGCCCTGCAAACATAGTAACACATAGCCTCATTATTTTACAAGTAAGCCATGCATGTTTTTTTCCATTGTTCAGCATTATCCTTTAAAATAAATATTCTGCAATTCCAATTACATTATTTTGAACATACTTTGAATATCATTCTACTAATAAATTCTTGTTCTATTTCTATTACTACATTTTATTTTTTAATTAACACTTTTGTTCATTATTTTTCCTGTATAAATATACATTCAAAATATATTTCTGTTATTATTAACATAATTATTTTGTACGGAGGTGTTTTGATAGTAAATAATGCATTTACATGCGGTCGTTTGTTAATGCATATTAGAATTTGATTTTAAATTCCCAAATCAAAATCCAATCAAATTTGGATCGCTGAGTAAGTTTAATATAATTGAGGGATTGTTTGTTTCGACAATTACATGTACATGTGACCATTAACTTTTCAGTTTACTTTTGGTTATTATATCTTATATAAAGCACACTTTTTTTTTTTTTTTTAAATAAAGCACACTCGGTGAATTATTTCTGAGCAATCAATGTACTATAAAGAATCGATCGATCTATAACAATTAGTGGGTTCAGACAAAAAAAATAAAATGTGGTATAAAACCACCAATACTTTTTTACCTCAGATTCAAAGCTAAAAATGTATTTAATGATAAAGTATAGTTAAATTGTAAAACATAACTTTGTGATTAAATAATCTTTTTTTGTTATATATAGGTATAATCTCAGAAGGCGAAGATTGTTTTCACCTGCATTAAGTGATTCGTCGGGTTGTCCTGTACATATGTCCCAGATAGGACGCTCATCCACTTCTAGGCGAGGCAGAATTATAATAGATTCTTCATCTTCAGATGATGAAGCATTACCTACTACTCATGATAATTCTCGTGCAATGCGCATGAAAGCGGAAATTGTGTATGGAGAAAGAAAACGAAAATTGAAAAAAAATAAACAGAAAAAAAGAAAAAGAAATGTTGATAATCACCGCACGCCTAGAATCTGTTACGGTAGTAGAAGGGCTCGACCGTTTTCAAGTGCATCTTCGCTTTCATCTTCAAGTGATTCTGACGAGAGAGGTGACAATTTTGTGGGTAGCTAATTAACTGTTGCCTTGAAAAAAGAATTACAGAAGTAAACACATACCATTTATGATAATATATTTATTGCCAAATTAATTGAATATAATATTAACAAAACATTCAGTTAAGAAAAAAAACATAAGAAATACTTATGCAAGTTAAAATTGTATTTTAATATTATACTTATAGAGAATAATTATAAATGGAAAATTATCTATTATGTAAATATAACTATGACTATGTAGTTAAAATAATTATTGTTACTTTCAATGTGTATATTTGTAAATTTGTATTTTGAGCCAATTAATAAATCTTTTTTTTCTTAAATAATATTATTATATTTTTCCTAAAAATATACTAATATTACCTAAAATACCAAGTATTGGTATTTTTATTAATATTGAGTTGATTTATATTATACTACATTGCCATTTTTGTGTGTTTATATAATAACTAATTTGAAGATAACACTCAAATTTTTATGTCCACCACACATGTAAAGTGGATATGTCAAAATCTAAATAAATAGATATTTTCTCATCGCTGTCCATCAATACAAATTTTTGTCGGAATTAATTTAACATTTGATTGATAATATATAAACCATATCAGATGTTTCTTTTTGAAATATAATTTTTTTAAGCAGACAAATCCAACAAAATTTAGTTTTATTTTGACACACGTATGTTTTCACGTCATTTAGGGGATACAGTTTTATGTGTACTAGTATGGTTCAATTATACTTAGATTTCAACCATGGATACGGTAAAAAAACAAATATTCGTTACTACTGTTTCATTTAAACATTTTGTTTAAGCTAATGTGAAGTATTAATTTTACAATGACCTTTTGTTTGTTTCATCTGCTAGCACAATTACTTTAAAACCACTGGTCCGATTTTCTCGAGTAGCATTTACATATCAATTACATTAAAGCGTATACCACTGGTCATTTGTAGTAGGAGCGAGAAATAATACAATTATGAAACCAAGCAATATATATATATAGGCTAAATTGCAAACGGTTAAAACGGTTATACAGCGAAAATTATATTTATTTCTATTATTTAAAACCGCAAAAATTGTTATGTCGGGTCGCATTTTCTTGGGCTTGGACTGGGGATTGAAAACTCTCCTGTATGCGACCGTTCTGTTACGAGGAGGATTGTCGCATGCATTATTGTTTTTACGGATATTATAATTGTGTGTGTGTTTATTAAATTTTGAGTTGCTTTTCTTTTTACTTAATTTAGAAATGTTACCTTTTCTCCCATCTCTTTTAAGGTAATTCAATCTAAGTGTTCTTTAATAATAAGTGTATTGTGCTAAAGACCGCATCTCCCGAGGCAGCCAAAGTACGGCTCTTGTTTCTTTGCTAGTGTCAGTACTTGCGTTCATGCTACCAACCTGTTTATTATAGTTATAAAGCTAAACAATATAATTGTCCTGAGGCATTATACTATTTATAATCAGAGACTTACTCGCTGGATGGAAAATCACCTGAGGCAGAAACAATCCAGAAAGTGACTAGAGCTCTGCCACATTTATGCGCACTTACTAAAAGGCACCTTAGTGTTTAGATAAACGGTATTAAGTAATTTTATTTACAGTGTGTGTGTTTAACGGTTCGTGTACCAAATTGCATATACGACACACTCGAGAGGTCGAAATTTAAAGAATTTCACTCCTAAGTTCTACACCCCGTAGTGAACTAATAGTTCATACAACCATTTTGTACAGTGGTAAGATAAAATACACTTAAAATTTGTAAACATTTTTATGTATAAACTATAACTTAACAAAACCATAACTTGTATAGATTAGTTTTGATTCAAAACAAAGCTTATACGTACCTACAGGACAACGTATCAACGACTCCATCCAAATTAAGAATAAACAAAAATATAATGTTTCTAAAGGGTTATAATATAGTAATAATTATAATAGAAAATATAAAGAAAACTTATTGGATCGAGTTGAAATTTATATGGGACAAGTATTAGACATATCTAGGTCCATCCGACAATAGCCTCAAATCTAATTTTAACCAAACCCCTTCTTCCCACAGGAGGTAGAAGTTTTTTTGGTTTAATTTTTTAGCCACAGTTTTAGGGATGATGAGTTGAAAATTGGCCTAAAGGTAAGGCTAATATAAATCAATATTAAAATACATAGGTAATAATAATAATTTCATTGGGTTAAACAATTATAAGTCCAAAATAACGAGGTCAAATCCCTAAACGGACCTTGCCCATTTAACCTATACATACTCTTTTGTATCACATTATTTAGTCAGTTTAGTGAAAATAAGTAAATATATGTCAATGTAATAATTCGATAAAAATTGTTTTTTCTACAATTTTAATTTTTCCGCTGTCTGATAGATTTAAATTTGAATTGTTATTAAATTTTTCTGTTAAAATTTGAGGGTTGAGACTATGTTTAATTGATAATGTGCCGGTATTTATAGTAAAATGTAACAAAAGTTAATATGGTTGGTTTCCATAATAACTTTTTCCTAATTTACCTAATTACATTTTTTGAGTGGCGGGCTTATTTACTATTCATTGATAAAAAAAATTGTAAAATGTATAAATTAATAATTTACTTGTTCCTATTTGTTTATTGTCTTTGGTTATTTATTGTTGGTTGCACTGTTAAGTGTATTGCTCTCGTATGACACCGTCCTGCGCGGCGCGCTCTATAATGAATGTACTGTATATTTTCATTTTATTTCATTAATTTCATTACTTCTTAGTTCTTACTTCTTAGCGCCTAGTATTCGTACGGCGTACCTACTACCTAGTTGTCGGAAATTGCACTTTATCTTTCTACTACTTGGCTTCGTGATGAAAGTCTGAAGTTGTAGGATGTAGATGATACAGACGTGTTCGCCAACGCTAAAAGTCAACCAGTGAAAATAGACGCTGCAAGTGTTTTCCGACGGATTTGCGATTGTTGTTTTTTTGTAATTACCTATTTAAAATTTATTTGAGAGTACTTAGTTTGTGTTATAGTGAAGTACATTTTTTAAAAGTGACACGGTCGGAGTTTCTATAAGTATGTATTGTATTGGCAATCTCGAATGGCTGAAATGTATTTGTTTGATAACGACACATATTTAATGATGTCGTTTAACATAACATAATTCTAATAGTAATATTTTGTTGTCAAGAGTGTATATTTTAGTGTTAAGGCGATCATTCCGTTGAGCGCGTTTGGTACCGTTGCCGTCGGGTTGTCGTAACATGTCGCTCGTATCGATTCGGTTTGGCCTCTGGACGTTTCGCATAACCGGTGGCCAAGTCACGTAAAAAGAACCGACGTTCCGTTTGTTCGTCGCGTTTCACTTGTGAACTACGTTACGATTGTGTTTCGGTTACTTTTCATCCGGTTCTATTCATTTATTTAAAAAAATAAATGAATTATACGTATTTCCGTAATTTTCAATATCGCATATTAAATTACCGTTTGTTGTTAGAATCATCAAATCGTATAATATGGTTGTATATACTGTATACTACTTATCTAATCACAAAATGTTGTGATCGTCTAGAAAATCGTTAATCCAAAGTCTACCTATGTTGTTATTACTGTATGTTTACAGTTTATAATATTCCTTTAAAAAATCATAACCTTTTGTCATAATTCTGGCAGGCTGAAAATTATATTAATAACTAATCAATTGTTTTCTAAATTACATAACCAGTATTACTCTATTTACATTTTGAAAAGTAGCTGTATTTTTTCTAATTTAATCATCTTAAATGTATTCGAGAGTTATGTGGAGAATAACAGTAAATAATACTCAACGTAGAATTAATACAATCTGTATTTTTATTCTAAATTCAGAGTTTGGATAATTTTTGATATTACATAACTATGATGAGTTACTATTCTTCACTATTATTTGAAAATAAAAATACATTATCAGCACCTTCTAACTCCATTAAATTTCGTTATCATTATTCACTTGCCATCCTATAAATTAATATTTCTTGATCCTTTTCCCTTTTTCGTTCGGCGCTATCGTTTATTGAGTCATGACTCATCATCTGGACATTTATGAATCCAAGTAATTCTGACAGCTCAGCTATTGGTATGAAGTACGTCAACAATTTCTTCAATTACATATAATATTTAATTAAATAAAATACCAAAATTACGATTCCTGTATTCTGTTCATCTATTTTATATTTAGATGTTGTATTTCAATGTATTTGCCATTATCCTGTTATTTATATAAGATATTTAATTAACATTTTAGCTCAGAAAATGTCTAGAAATGAAAGGCTTAGAGTTGACAAAAGAGCCTCGACTAGTCGTGCTAGGTCTAAAGGTATATGAAATACTAATTTGTTAACTAAAAACAGTAACAAAATACATACTCAATTTTTCCCATATTATTATAATTGTTATAATAATTTTAGATTCTCCAAGAAGGGAATTGGAGAATGTTGTAAAACGAGCTCGTAGAGATAAAGATCAAAGTCAATATTGGATAAATAAAGTATTGGAAGCCGAAGAAAAAGATCCTAACAGGTAAATAAATACATTGTATTGTTGTATTTATATAATATTATATTGATCTTGGGGATAGACTGGGACACCCTCTAACTACATAGAAATCAACCATCCTTGCTATATTAATTTAGAAATTATCGCTCTCAAACTGAATTGACCAAAAACTTGAAGGCTCGAAAGATGATCATCCTCTCATCTACCAGTCTAGTTTGCTACCGATTGATAATTTACACACCATCATAGATTTACTTTCTAACTCTTAATATTCTCTTACCGTTCATCGTGGATAATATGAAAATTGTTATCATTATATCAAATACATGTTGTTAACTGCATTTACTAAGCAAAAACAATTAATTAATTAGACTTATTATTCACTTTTATCAATAAAAATATTATAATATTCAACGATTATATTTTATTATTATAGCAAGTTAAGTTAGATAAAGGTAAAAAAAAACAGCATGTTCTAGCTATCTATTAGTGCTTGATAATTTGCTATAATTCAAAACAGATAGCGAAACCAAGATAAGTTAATTATTTAGATATTATAGAAGTGGAAAATGCATTTAATTGATATAGTTTATAGATAAGTATAAATTAATATGATGACGCCTGTATAATTAATTCTAACTTAATTTTGGATAAATGTGTGTAGTTAATTTTTTGGTTATTGATTATCTATTAAATAAAATACTTGAGCTTTAGTAAGTCAAAAGTTTGGTTTTTATATTTTTAGGTGGAAACATTCTGGTTTTAAAGAACTCTACACCGATAGGCGATCTAGATCTATCAGTAAACGCTCATCTAGCAGTTTCTCTTCTAGTTATTCACGCTCATCAATGCATAGATCATTATCACGTAGAAGAAGAAGAATGTTATCACGTTCCCCCGATATAAGACGTGCACGCCGTTCTTTATCTATAAGGCGTGCATCTCCATTATCAAGACGTCGTTCACCTTATCGTTCTAGAAAATCTCCATTAGCTCTTCATTCTAGAAGAAGACGTAAATCTTCTTCAGAATCCCCGGTAGCTAATGGTTCACGTACAAGACGTTCCCGATCATTAAGCAGAAGACGGAGGTCTCCGATCTTGAATCGTAACCGCAGAATTGTTTCACCTCCTCCAAAAAAACGAGGATCTAGGAAGCACGGCAGAAAACGCAATCGACACTCATCTGAGGAAGTGAGTTTGGAAATTAAAAAAAAATGATTTTTATAAACATTTTTATTTTTATTAATCCTACAGGCGCGTTCGTCCAGCGTAGGCAGTTGTTCAGAGTCTCATTGTTCAGTGTGTGAGGACGCTAGATTATCAATGGTCAGACGTGAGCCGCCTCCAGAACCATTGGCTCGACCGAAATCTCCGAAAATGGCCAGATCAATTCCAATTCATGAGCGATCTAGGTAAAAATGTACTTTATGACTTCATTATCATACATTATTTTAATGATTATTGTTTTTAGGTCAAGATCGTTTTCGGTTCCAAGATACACACCGGTAGTAGAAGTAAGTTCTACGACTAGTTTATCTAAAGGAAGTGCACCTCCAGAACCGGCGCCAACAAAAGCTAAGCGTTCTAAGAAAATCAAATCGCACAAGAAGAAAAAATCACATAAATCTAAGTCTTCCCACATCGAAACTGTAAGTGACCATTATATTTTTTTTTTGTTATTCAATTTTACTGGTTTTATTTAATATCATTATTCGATTATTCATTTTGAATATTTTTACTACGTTTTAGGCGGTTTTACATCAACAATCAATAAAAGTGGAATCCATGTCCGATGATGACTCGAGTATTGGTGGCTCAGACATGCCAATGAGTTCTTCGTCCGGAGCCCATTTAACTCTTTCTGAACGTTTTAGTAAAATGGCTCAAATGGGTCGAGCACACGAGTTACCTCAAAGAAGTCTTCGTGTAACGGCTGGTGACGATTACAGAGTTGAAATTGGCTCACCACCTCATCCGTTTCCTACTCCCGCTATTGGGTAATTAGGTTTTATTTTTTACATATGGTACCTTTGTTACTTGTTTATTTGACACTGTTTTACTAGATCTTTGCCAGAGGGCACATCCATTGAAGACGTCAAAGGTCGTTATGCTTATTACAAAGAACAAGGATATTTAGGTGATCTTTCGTTGAGCGATTACGTCAAATGGGAGGAATGGTGGTATAAATATCAAGATTGGCTGGAAGCGGAAAGAGCGTACGATGCACATTTGGATAGGTACGCTAGAGACAGAAGATATAGAGATGAGCCTCCCATATTTTAATGTCATAGAGTCCCAGTTCATTATTCAGAAGACAACTTGTGTTAAAAAAAATTGATAAATTTAGCATGGTATATACATGTATATATCTGACCATATGAATCCCTAATAATTGCAAAAATTAATTAATATAATCAGTTATATTATATTTACAATATTGGAGGCCAGTTAAAATGCTAAATCCCAAAATAAAAATTATTCTTACATAATTTATAAGCTCTTTTGTTTGGTTAATGTTTCATTAATCATTGAGTTATTGTTACTTTTTTATATTTCTTTTACAAATTTTAATTATTTTTTTGTTAAAAACAAAATATGTTTCTTTTGAAGTCGTAATTATTTTATCATTTGATTTTCATGTAAATAGACTAAACTTATTATAACAGCCAGTAACTAAGTTTTAATAAAAGATACGTAGGATATGTTGAATAAGTAGATAATGTGTAATATTAAAAAATACTTAAGTCACCTAAATACTTTAAACTAAACACAACTATGTATTTTATGTTTAGTGATTAATAATATTAGATGATCCGTTTGTTATTGATAAAATAATGATAATTATTATATACATATATATATTACCTAAGAGTTTGAACATGTTTTTATTTGTTTAATATAACAAGTTACCTCAACTATTCCTCTATTTATTAAATTTATAATTTGTAGACAAGAAAAAAGTTGAATGAGCAATTTAAAAGTTATATTTTTTTTGTAGGATGGCACCTATTAATATGTCATTTTTTCGAACTTTCAGATGAATACAATTACTATTGTACAGAATAATGTATCCTGAAGTATTATCTTTCATATTAGGAACCATAATAGCTTGATAATGAAAGCCACCCACACATGCCATATTAGGCCACTGTAATACCCATTTTAATATTATTAAAAAAATATTACACTATAACTGACAAAAAGTGACATATTATTATTTTTTGCCATTAGCCATCCTACCACAGATTTAAAGCGTGTAATTATGAGTAGATCTAGATTAATTGCTTAAAATGTAATCAAATTTTACAAACCTTGCTTATTTTTGTGCTATATTTATAACATTTTCTTTTTTTTTTGTAATTTGATTAGAATTTTCAATTTGTAATCATAAACAAAAAATAAAATAAAAATATATACATTTTTGTTAGATTCTTTTATTTGCTAAATTACTCATTGTTACCTACAGTTACTAATCAATTTAATTCTATTAAATGTTTAACGACAATAGACATTTAATTAATTAAATATTAATACTTTTGAAATAAGAATCTGAATTTGTTAATTTTTTACTAGGCTCGAGTTGTACCATTGATTATATATTATTTATAATTGATGGTTGTAGTATCAAGTATGTGTGTCCAAAAGTAAAAGCTAAACAAACAACAAATGAAAAAATTCTTAACTCTTAAATAAAAACTAATTGTATCATAGAATTGACACAGTAACCATACAATTTACATTATAAACAATTTCAGTGACATTTGAAATGTATACATTTTAACTAAATAGTTGAGCAAATTAATTAATTTGTTTTAATTACAAAATTATTTATCATAATAAATATTTAACAAAACAAATCAAAAGCAGTATTATTGAAAACAAAAATATATATAATAATAATAACGTGACAGTATTTATAACAAATGATTATTAATAAATAATCAGTATCAATGTAGTAAAACGAACGTAGATGTTATATAAAATTGTATCAATTTAATCACAAATTAGCAGTGACGACAAAATAAAAGAGCAAATTAATTGTTTGTTGTATTATCAAATAATTTAATGAATTCTTTGTTTACGCCATAGCTTTCTAAATAGTTCATGCAATATTGGTTGAAATTATCTTTACCACAAACTAGCCACAACGATAATGAATTTTGATGTTTAATAACAAGTTCACTAATTACAGTTTTTGTAATTCTCCCTTCTACAACCGTTTCGTTATACCAAAATGTTTTTGAACGCTCTGCCCAATTAGTATGCCTAGTTAGATACAAGGATATTTTACAATTCCAGTATGATGCCAAATCCGATAAAGTCTTTCGCATTAATATGTCATTTGGAGTTTTACTTGAATAATGCAAATCTAATAACGTATCACACTTTTCATTTTCAACTATAGTGCGTATGAGTCCAATAAATGCAGCAATACCAGATCCACCACAGAACATTATTATTCTATCATAACCAGTGAATTGTACTCCTCCGGATGGTCCACGAACGTGAACGATATCATCTACGACCTTGCTGAATAGTTTCCTAGTAAACTGTCCGTTTAAATATGCTTTTATTATCACCTTAAATGAGCAGTTATCCTCTAAAGCGATTGGCGTGTACGGTCTTGTGATTTTGTCTACTTGTATATGTATATGTTGAGTAAAAGCAATAGGTAATCGACCGTTGGCTGTTGGGTACGCAATAAACGTATACAATCGTGTGTCATTACTTAGCTGTTCAAAGGCCGCTATTTTAAAAGCTTTATATTTTGTAACTGACAACAGGTCTCTTCTGAGTTCATCTGACTTTTTTGTCTGGCGAATATTCCACCGAGCGTATTCTGCATCATAAACATCTAAAACGCATGGTACACAACCCGAACCACAACAGTCAGATTCCGATGGTCTCTCTGGAGGTGGATCACACATAGTCTTGCTTATTTACAATATTTACAGTTTCAACTCTCATGATTGAATAAATAGCTACTATAATAATTGTAAAACTTTAATTGTTGAATAAAAAAAAAAAAAAAAAGTTAGAATTATTCATTTTCTAATACTATACATTAAATATTTACTTATTATTTATTTAGTAGAAGTCCATTATTCAAACCAGTAACCACTGATAATAAAAGAAGACTCATGAGCCATGACTATAGATAAATTATTATAAAATATTATTTCAAAGCATATTTCATGCTTATATTCATTATACTATGAAACAAACAGCACTTATCAATCAATGGTGGCGGCTACTATTCCTAAATACCACATTTTCCAATGACAACTTTTTTCATCTTGTTTACAGCAGACATGTAGACCTGTAGGTCGAGCAGGGCACTTGCTCGGGGCCTCGCGTTTTTATTTGAGCCTTTTACGTGTAAACCCCTCCCCCCCCATTACGGTATACTGATATATTTATTGTGTATATGAAATTTTGCACAGGGCCTCACATATCATAACGCTTGCCCTGGTCACTTTATAGATTGTAGTCTACAAATCTTGTAGCTAAACAATACCTAACATTTTACACGAAAACGCATTTTTAAGCTTCGATGCAAAGCTGAGAAACAAGACTCAACCAAATTTTCGGGGAGGGTTTTCAATTTTTTTATTGCATCACTTTGACAGTTGGCATGTAGAAGTGCAGCGAAGAGTTTCTTTATGAGAGCTAGAATCTTTTTATTTATTTCCTCTTTATAGGTTTAGTTTTTGGACTTAAGGTCTAAAAATTAAACTGTAGGTCAGGGTTAAATTAGGCCTACAGTAACTCCTAATTATCGTAAAAGGTGATTAAAAGGAGGACGGCCGACAGAGGTAACCAGCAGCCGCTATTCCCAACCATTGGCGATTTCTGCAGCAGAACTAACAGCAATGGAAGGAATTGATGACGACAGCTTATAGATCTACCAAGTACTGGCTCATCAACTGCGATGTGGAAAGAGGAAGAGTCCACCACATTAAAATTCTTAGTAAAGCAGTTTAGAGATAGACTGCAAAGTGCAAAACCAACCGTAAGGTTGACTACAAAAAAAAGATCTTGTGTTGCTCTACACATAAACAAATTACATTAATTCTATTAAATTTAATAATGTTACTTGTTGACATTACTTGTTAATGTAAGACAATATATTTTGAACATAATAGTAATTTTGTAGTTTTTCTTTTTTCCCAAATAGTTTTTTAGATTACTATAAAATTTTTAATCAAACAGTCGAAATGTTCAATAGTTTTCAACTAAAAAAGTTAATAAAATACATGCTTTACTATTTAAAAAAGTTGTTGGTGGCACTTTATCAAGAATAATTTGGATAAAACCATTAACACGATTCATTCAATAATTCCAGACTGTAATCCCTACCTGAGCTAGTTTTTTTTAAATCTCTAAAGTAATATCAAGCAATACACACACACAATAACTAACAAATTGTTACTAATAAAGATGGATCCAACATGTCAGGAGGAAATATGTATATTGTACAAATAAGTCTGGTAGTTTGTTTTTAAAACTTATGAAATATGAAAATCAAATAATACTATCTATAATATATATATATATATTATACAGAAATATTTATGGTAGTACGAGTGTCTCAGTTCTCTATATATAAATGAATGCTTAGTTACAAGTAGCTTTAAGAACATATCAGCATATTATATTAAATTACATTATTTTTAATTAATAAACATTACATAAAAAAATGTTATTATTGCTTAAAGGATTCACTAAATTACCGTGTCCTGTTTACATTAAAATAATGTACATTAAATAACTTATTTATTATATAATAATAATACAAGTGAATTAAAATTAAAAAGTGCTTCACTGAAAAAAGATCAGTTTTTACAACAATATTTAAAAGATAACTAAGAATAGTTTTTTAAGTTCTATTTTAATAGTATGCTATTCAAGCATCAATATAACTATGTATAATATTATTACAGTTCATTATGATCAACCAGCCAATCATCCTGCGGTTGTCTGAATGTTTCGTTGTCCATTAAAACAAAGTTCACCCCGGGGCCATAATAAGGAATGATATAGTGTGATCCATCAGCAGGTCTTACGATTTGTGTTGCGATGAGTACTACATCAATTAGTTGTCCGATGAACATAAAACCGAGTGTACATAGTTTTAATAAGCCTATTGCTGGATAGCCCAAATAAAAACGATCGATTCCAAACATTCCCAAAAATATGGATAATAGCAGAGTTGTTTCATACCGATATCCGTTGCTAAAACAAATATATATAATATTCTGGTTAGAAGTTGAAATTTTCTAATGGAGTGCATCAAAGCATACATTAAATTAAATTTATATTGGTGTTATAGGTACGTACGTCCACTTGCAAGGAGCCTCTTTCCAAAATGTTGAATTATTTGTTTCCGTGCATACAATTCCATCGGCTGCTTTACATCTCACTTAAACATTAAAAAAAGATGAATAATAATTTAAAAAAAAATAAACCTCTAACCTTTTGCTATATTTTTATTAGTACAACCACGCAATTGCTGGGTTTGCGGATCAATATGGTCGTATGCTGGATCGGGGCACAAGAATTGACCCATACGCAAGTTTTTACAATCAGTTTTATAGATTGTTTTAACTGGTCCAAGCGACGGTCGCCCATAGTTTACACAATATGTAAGAAGAACAATAACTGCTAAATGCCAAGTTAGCGTCATAGCATTGTCAATAATGTACAATGAGCCAAAATCAAATAATCTAATATCTCGACACGGAAGGATTTAAGTGTAAAGCAGCCACGAATAAGTCAAAAACACTATACTAATTATTATGTATACTTTAAAGGTTCTATACGGAACTGACAAGTGATGGATCAGATCAGATCTATTGTTTGTCAATATTAATGCACGTTAATAATAATAATTTTAAGATATTACTATTATTGTTTATATTTTTAAGCGTGTAGCGTGTACTTAGGCAAATGGCAATTATATTTATAAGTTATAACCCACTATCACTTAAAAATAAAAATCAGTTTTTTATCATATCACCGGTAACGAGCTTTGTGAGTTGTGACGATATGGCATTTGGGAGTAGATGTTCTGAGAACAATATACTATTCAACATTATTCCTTAACATAATATTGTGTACTGTATTGTGTGTATTAATTAATTTTGATTTATGAGTTATGACTTGAACTTTGAAGTCAGTTAATTATAGCCATGAGATCATACACTTTACTGGAGATTTTTTGTAAAACTTTAGAGTACTTATTGAACATAATTTACTGGGCAAATCCAATTGAATGGACTGAATAGGTACCTATAAAAAAAAATCCTATATTAAATAAGAATAGGCCATAGGGTAACTATATAACAGCTGTACAGGTTATATAGTATATAGTGACTATAGAACACAACAGCTCCTGCGACCTGCTGTGACATAATCTTTGTACTCTTCCGAATTGATAGCAATTTACAGTGTGACCAATACGAAAAAAAATAAATGTAGTTTTTACTCCTTAGTAGAAAAATAATTATTTCAGCCATTTTAAATATAAACTGAATCAATATTTGTAGACTGTACATTTTATTCAATTTATGTTCTATCGTCAAAAAAGAAATGGGCTTCAGTAATAATTAGTTCCCTACAGTTAAAATTTATAAGAAGGAAATTTGTATGACAAACAATGATTGTTTTCTCTTTTTAGGAAAATCAATATTAACGTTATATCAAGTTAATATTTACCAAAGTTTGTAAGTCAGCAGCATTCACTAAACATAAAAACAAACTCATCTACTCAGAACTAGTCATGGATTTGAAAAAATATTTTAATAGTGCTCTGCCTGATAATGTCCATGCTACGGTCAAGGATCTATGGTTCAATTCAATAGTTGATCGTTACAGCGGACTAAATCGTCGATGTCATAACCTGAATGACCTAAATAATTGTTTGCAACATTTTGAGTCTGTTAAAACATTTGTGAAAAATCCTAATGCAATTGTTTTAGCACTTATCTTCAGATAGTAAGTGTTTCATAATGGTTCACTTTATATTTAATTCATTTCCGTTTGTTCTATGCTCTAGTTTTGAATATGACCCTAGACTTGCAGATTGTAGCGAGATAAATATAAATAATTTTAAAAAATTTATTGATGAATCAAAACTGAGCACAGTAAGTTTGTTATTTATTATAATAATTATTCTAGTTATGAATAATAAAAAAACAATTCATCTCTATAGGATTCAACTTTATGTGATGATGTTATTGCATTGTTAAAAGTGGCATCTACAAACAGTACAGATGAACATAAAACAGAAGGCTGTTATGGGTTTGACGATAAGCATTACTTTTTGGATATAGACATGGTTATTTTAGGAATGGGTCCATCTGATTATGACAAGTATACAAATTATGTCCGTGAAGAGTATGATTTCATTGATGATAAAACATATAAAGAATTGAGGGTGAAAGTAAAAAATATATTTTATGTCAATTATAAGAACATCATAATATTTCATTTGTTGATTGATCACATTATGTTCTAGGTTCTAGAAAGCTTTCTACAAATACCAAATATTTATGCAACTAAAATCTTCAGAGATAAGTATGAGTTGATTGCTAGAAATAATATTCAAAGAGAAATAAACTCTCACAAATCAACAACGGAAAGTAACTAAAAAGAAACACAAACTTAATTATCTATATTTTCCTTTTTAGGAACCAAATTTTGTTTTTTGATGAATTTGTGTAAATCACTTTATTTTATTTTCCAAAAATGTCTTCTATGTTTTTGTGTTATTAATAAAATTTGGTTGATAATTAATATTACTATTATTTTACCATTTCAAGTTACCACTGTTTAATATAAATTTTTTAATTTGTTGAGTTGTCTCTCATCAGATATAATATTTATTATTGTTATTAAATTAAAAATAAAACACATGATATTATATTTTAATTCAGTCTTGAAAACGTAAAGTACACAATTTTAAATTATTGGGGAATATTAAATTATTGAAGTCTAAAGCATAATTTAGTAATATTGCCGTTTTTAAGATTCTAATCAGAAAAACGGCTTTAACCGAGGACTAGCTATACTGGGTGATTATATTAACGCCCTACACTAGTTTACTCTTAAAATAGTTGCAATTTTGAAGTGTTGTAGAGTTTATAGTTTCTCTTTTGAAAACATTTTTATTTATGTTTTTTTACATTAATAAAAAATGACTAAATATTCATCTTTTTAAGTATTTTTTCACTCTGTATTGACTTAACATACTGAACCTAACATATTTAACTAACTTTTTAATTTAAGAATAATTTTCTGAAAATATTGACTATAATGCAGGCGCTGAGAGAATAAAATTTAGGATAGAAGGTGGAGTGCGGTTGAGAAATATGCATTAATAAGAACAACTACTTTACACCCTTCCTCTTGTCCTAAGTTAGAGAATGCAAGTGAGCAAAAACCAACACGAGTTACTCGGGTATGCGCCTGCATATGAGTTCTGCACACTTGCATTTTCTTGGCGCCCACAGTATAGTCGATATTCGATAAATAGTTTTAAAGTTATTTAAGTTAAAAATTTAGTACAGGAGAAAGGGTGGAGTAGTTGTTCTTATCTGTGCATATTTCTCAACCGCACTTCACCTCCCGTCCTAAATTTTAAACTTAAATAACTTTAAAAATAATTATTTAAAACTGGTTATCGACCAATCAAAATGTTCAGAAAATTATTCTTAATTTATTAAGTTAATAAAATACGTACGTTGCTATTTAAGTTTTATAAGTAAATAAAGCTCTAGCAAATACTAAAAAATATAAAAATTTGAATATTTTCTACCATTGAACAAGTATTATAACATAAATAAAAATGTTTCCAAAAAGAAATGCTTTTAATTGCAATTATTTTAAGAGTAAACTAGTGTAGAGCGTTAAAAGAATTACCCGGTATAAACAAATCAAAATTTACAAAATACTTTATGTATTTAGTATATACTTGTGAGCCAAGCAATATTTATTTGAATGAAATGATTTGTTAAAAGCATAGATGTGTTGATAAGTTTATGATTATACTCAAACACTAGTTTACATAGACAAAATATATTGTATTATATTAATTGTTTAAAGTATTGTAAAAATGTAAAACAGTATGATTAACAAGCTTTGTGTGGTAATAGATTTTTAAATTTGTTTAGTATCATTATTATACTTCGTTATATGCATTTGGATTTTTTAAAAATTGTTTTATAAGAGAAATTATAATTATTAGTTGTAAGCCTCAACAAGCTACTTTTAATTATAATATTTTAATGTGTATTGTTATAATTTCCAAATATTAATTAAATATTTAAAACTGTTTTTAAATGTGTGTCTTTATGACAAGTAAGTTAACTTGATCTATTTTAACTGTTTAAATTTATCTTATCGCCTATGACTCATTTTTTTACAATGTGAAATTTAATATCTACTTACAAAAATTATTTACATCACTGAAAAAATCGAGTTAGGTATGTCTAACAGTTAATATAAATATATTAATAATTAATGTATTATTATTGCATAATATATAGATGTAGTGTGTTTAATGTTCACATAAAACTGACAATTATGTAAAATATTCAAATATTGTGTTCTATTATAGTTCAGTTCAGTCACTAGAATGATTAAATTACCATGACATTAACGATAAACAATTTAAATCGAACCTATTTTGATTGAATAAAATGTTCAACGTCCCATAGACAAGTATGCAACGTCCTACTACAAAATACAATATAATATTATTAGACATTTGTTTATTATATTCTGTGATATTATTACGATTTAGTATTTACGTTTCATGTTATCGTGTATGATAATATGATAATATTTATTACACAATAATTAGTGTAATATATAAAACTCGGAAGCCGTTTCGTTAAAAAATCGGTTCCACAAGCGACTCATTTTTACAGTACAGCTACATTAGATAAAACCCAATTTTAGTAGGTAATTGTCAATTGGTAAATAATTGTGGTGACATTACTTATTAGTTGTTGAATCATTTAATGTTACTTATTAGTTATTACTAATTAGTAATTTATAAGTAGATATAATATTATCTACAAATCGTTAGATCATATTATATTATATGATCTAAGTAATCACCTTAAGATCACTATAATGATATTATCACAGAATAGATTAATCTATAAAGACGTCTATGAGTATTTAAGTCTACTGTCTATGTGAAGACCAATGGGCAATGACCATATATTGTTCTATGGTGAAAACTAGTCTTCTAGTCTTCATAGGACATGGATAAAACTTTAATCTATTCTGTGACATTATTATCATAAATCTTGTTTATCAGTCATCACTCATTACACATAAATTATGCATAGATCTATAAACATCATGACGTATGTATGGTTGGTGCATTGATTAAGTATACTGTGTATTTAATCAATGGTTACATTAATTTTGTACGTACAATAATTTTTATGTCTAGGGTCACACTGTATAAAGGAGTCACTTGTCGTACTTATATGGAATACAGACGATACAGGGAACGGCCGCTCCTACAACATTATGGAATAATATCAATTGGTTTATTGGTCTTAATGTTATCATTGACGCGTAGTTTTGGCCACACTGCACGTGATAATCATCATGTCTAATCAATAATGTTAAAAGTTAAAACAAACAAGAAGAGTAAGAACAGATGATGATTGATGTAAATAAACGACCGGTGTGTTTTGTGTTGTCGAGTTCATTGTATTTGCGTCTGGTGGTTTTATGTCGGTTTGCGTAATTTTCTATTTTGATTTAACCAAGGAGGCTAAACATTCGGTTTGTTGAGGATATTAAAACAAATCCAGGTAAATAACCGTTTATATTTTTAATATAATTAGAAAAAATGTACCATTTATGTTACACAATTTACTTGGCAGCCCTTATATATTTTGTATTTTAAAAAATACACAGAGGAATATATTTTTAATATTTCGCAGCTGTTTACTGTGTTAGGAATTTGTCTGTAGATGTCAAATGATTATTTTAAAATTATAAAGAAAAAATTAACTCTTTGAAATAATTGTTAAGCTTTATAATATGAATGAATACAATTCTTTAATCAATTTATTCATTTTGACTATTTTTTTGAAAATTGGATGGTCTAATATAACTTTTAGCCTAATATAACCTTAAGTTGAACACATATTATGTTATAATATTAACAATATTAACAGTGATACATAAAAGAAACATAATCAGCTCTGTTTCTGATTTATTTTTATTCAACGAGATTAAAATGTGGTAATCAATCTATGTTGTGATTTATGTCTAAGAAGAATTTTTATGTTTTTAATATATTTTTAATTGTATTATCATATTAATTTTGAAAACTGTATTAAATAATTGGAAAAAAAAATCTTCTTAGTGTGATTTATTAACATAAACATTAAAAAAATTATATCATTAAAATAAATTGAATAATGTCGTCACATATGTTTCGGTACTCAAAGTGTCAGCCATATATGATAGAAAAACTGTAAAAACTTTTTTTTTGTATTATGATCTAACTGTAAAAATATTTTATCAAGAAAAATATAGTAGTTAAATATTAATAATAATGATCTTATTTTGAAATATTACCTCTGAACTATTTAGATTTCTCATTGATAGACTATATTGTTATGTTTGACTTTGATATGAATTTTTTTCATGTCATGTTAGTCATATGTTGTATCTTATTTTATTATTTTGTACTTCTTTCTTTACTAAAAAAAAAACCATTCGTTTATATTCAACAGAACAGTTAACATAACCCACTACATGTAATATTGCATTGCGCCTCTACCTTGTTTCTTCCCTGATTACTAAACTTAACAATGGTTATAAATCCGGGAGTAACAGTATTCCGAGCGTAATGATCTGGTCATAGTAGATCATTTTTGTATTTAAAAAGTCAGTAAAGTACATAAAATGAATGTGACAACATCATAATTTATTATTTAAGCATGCTATCTAAAGGATTATTATAGTTATATATGTGTGGTGTAAATTAATGTAGAATAAAAAACAACAAAAATTTAGTAGGAAAGGAAGTTTTGATTAGTACAAAGAGGAAGGCATAATTAAATAATATCCCTATTTAAAATTGTATAAATAAGTCATTAATTTTTTTTTTAATTTTCATACTTACGGCAAGCTAGTCACTTCATATGGATTTAATTGTTAATTTCAATAAGACCTATTTGAGAAGCATTTTATATAGAATTCTGTGATTGTGTTTCTTATAATAAAGCCTAACATATTCACTGCTTTTGTGCATATTATTTTTATATTCTATCTTAAACATTTGATACTTGAGATATAATATAATGTATTAAATCTTTGAAGTTGAAGTTTTTTGATTTCAATAAAACAATATATATGCATCAATAACTGTGTAAATAAATGTCATTTGAGTTTCTTTTTTTTAAAAAGAAATCTGACAAGTCTAATAAATGTTAAATTTAAACAACTTTCATGTTAAAATAAGAAAATTTAAGTACATTTTAGAAATCTATGTATATATGTTTGTTAAATTTTAATAATTGTCAATAAAAAACAATGAAGGTTAGTAAATTAAGCATCACCAAGAAATGTGCGTTACATGTTTTTTATAAAAAAATAGTTGAAATTTGGTGCTTTTATTTTTGAGATGAAACTATTTTCATATAATGTAATACTAAAAGTATTTAGATTTCCACTGTTTAAGTGTACCTATTTAAAAGTATTTTTAAAAAAACTGCTTAAATTCTAAACCTCCAGACAAGGCCAATGAAATTATATTTCCATATCAATGTTAACGTTCATCAATCAACTGTGTTAATCTCGTGTTTTATTATTATTATTATTATTAATTGTAACAATGCCTCGTTATGCAATAAGCAATCAAATTCAAATTTTACTACCCTGTTTATGGAATTGAAAAATGTAGGTGATTTTATAGTTTTCACACACGTACATTACCAGTACCTAAAAATCGTTATGCCTAAAAAGTGAATGCCTTATTCACAATATTCAATTTGAAATGTTAAATTAAATGTTAATCCAACAAATGCTCGCGACAGAAAAAAAATGTGTTCATAATGTTCTAATAAAGTTGTACAGTTGAGAAAAAACATAGATAGTCAATTGCACTATACGTTTGCACTTATGATTTAGAGCATCGTAATAGTAATAGTAATTAACTTAACTGTAATTATAGTTTTTTTGTAGTTCCCTATTTGTAATATATCGCCGTCTTTCTGAAAGGATTGGACTGTGTTAACTTACACTTGAAACATTTATTATTGTTATAATTACTATTACTATCATCAAGACAACCGCAATTAATATTTAGTTGCTCCAGTCTCGTGTGTTGTAGATTTTATGTATAATGTGCGTGTTAAAATTTAAAGGTCTTTTGGGACCTCATGCATATCATCGCTTGTAAATGGCGGCAGCTCTATATATTTCAGTATGTAATCAGTTTATATATTGTTGATTGCTGCATGGGGAAACATGTATCAAGGTAATTTTTTTAACACCTTCGTCGAGAATAATTAAAACCAGTTTAATAAAGAAAAAATTGGTAAATGTATCTGATTTTGCTTATGTGACACAATATACAGACAATGTATAATAGTTAAATAATCTTAGCAATTAATTAATTTATAAATAATTTACTAATAAATAAATAAATTTAATGATGTTATTTTATAACCTATACAAATCCTGAATCATGATTCTTGATCTTCTTAGCGTTTCATTTTATGTTGCTATGCTGCAATAGACCGAGAAAGGGGATTTCGTGGTTAATTTTCGAGGGATTAGTGGTCGGAGGTAAACGGTTTTGGGAAGTTGGGTAAAAGTTTCGAAAACATAAAAGCGAGTTTAGTGTTTAGCGAGTATAGAGTGAAACTACGGGTCTTAGTAACTGGGTGTTTGAACTTTGATTTTGCATATTTTATTTAGAAAAAGGCACACTGTTTAGATAGTAATGACCAAAAAAACCAATACGTTCTCAGCATCACGTGATAATCTCAAAACAATAACAGGGAACGGGGTTTCAAAAGAAAGTTTTGTATAATTACTGTATAACCACGTGTGGTCGTAGCTAGTTTAAACTTAAGCATTCGCTAACAACAGAGGTACAACTACATAGGTGGCTAGTTGGTACTAAATAATGCTTAAGCTAAACTGACCGTTTAATGTCTATGATTTGGCGTGACTCTAATAAACCAGTACCGTTGATTTTATAATAAACAGATAAGCCACGCTATAGTAATTTTCAGCCACTAGAGCTTAAAGCCTCAGTTTTAAATTAATGCTTTAGCGCTTCTAGCTGTTGTTAAAAACATCTGTTTAGTTCCGAAACATTCCTATACCGTGGCTTATCTGTTTTAATTAACAATTGGTGTGATAAGGACTTCATGGTAGGGACAAATTTGAAGAACACGCTGATAAACATAGATCACTCCGTCTCTCTCTATCCAAAGCTCATTCCCTTGTGCTCATGCAAAATCAAATTAAGAAAATTAAAAATAGTGTACTTTTAAATAGTTTTATTCCAGAATATAATGTTATTGTCACGTTTGTGTAAACGTTATTATACTGATTGTTGGTGTTTCGAAAACATTATCTACCAATATATTAAACATGACAGATTATATAATATATAAATAATAAATAAATGGAACACGTGAATAAAGAATGGCAAAAATCAAAACATAAGTAATCAATATATATTTTTAGTATCAAAGCTAAAATGAACAAAAACGTCTTTCCTTTGTGTGGAAGATTAAATTAATATGATATTTTACGTTATTGTTATACATTGTATACATGTAGTGACACATTATTAAGTTTTGACGTGGTAAAGAAGAAATATGCGGTACTTTTTTGATTTCTTTTTACTCACTATGTATACATCGCAATAAAAACATTTTTTAATTTCGATTAAGAATAATTTAATGAATTCTAATTTCAAGACAAAAACAATAAATTCTAAAAGGTGCCATAAAAAACTTGAATTATGTGTAACTCGTAAAAAATATTAAACCAAATCTGTTATAATAATGAAGTTTTTTCGTGCAAATCATATTATCATTGAGTATATATTGTACATATATACAATATACACTCAATGATATTATCAACAAAATTAATTATTTTTACGATGTTCTTATAGTTATTTTATTTTCAGTATTTTTTTACGAGTTACACATGGTTTTTAGTTTTTCCCTTCCGCTATTTAGAATTTATTATTTTTTCCTTAAATTGTTCGTTAATAACCCAAAAACTTAATTAATCATCTTTTTTTATCTAAAAACTTAGTTATTAAATTTGTTTTACGTACAAGTTTGCAACAAAAAAAAAAAAAATCACAAAAAAAGGAAATTTCGATTTTCCAATAAAAGTATTAAAACGCGTACATTCTTAATGGCTACATGGATTAGTAAGTACACTTAAAATGGCATTGAAAAAGGAAAATTCGTCAGGTTTTTGTCGTAATCCATTGTTAAATTTTGTTTGCCAAATAATTAGACTGTATTACATAGTATTGTTTGTTTTATATAATTCAAAATTAATATTTGTTAAAAAAAAAAAATGGTAACATATTCATTATTTTTTAATAAATACGATTGAAAGGTGTTTTGTATTTAATTAAAAAAATACTGTATTTTGCTTATCCCTGAATTTACGAGTATGCTTTTGCAAGAGTGGAAGACCGATTAATAAAGCAGTATAATAATGTACTCGTTAGTTTCTTCGTTTATGGTTAATATTTAGAGTTTTATCTGCCGGCGAGAATATTTGTATTAGTTATTACATATTATTATTATTATTA